TTTATTTTATTATTTATAAAAATAATAATAAAAAAGTTATTAATATTAATTTTATAATATTTTTAATTAATTTTAAAAGTTTAAACTTTAAAAATTATAATATTAAAAATAATAAAAATAAAAAGTAAATAACTTATTTCCTTATTAATTAAACCTTTTTATATTTAATATTTTTTAATATAAATATTTTTATAAATAAAAATATCTTAAAGTTTACTAATATTTTTATTTTAAAAAAATAATATTTAGTAATAAAGTTTTAAAATATTATTTTAAATATTAAAATAATAGTATTTTTTATTATTAAATATAAATAACTTTTTACTTTTTAGTAAAAAAACTTATTTATAATAATAAATATTTTCTAAGCTAATAAAGCTTTTATTAAGTTTAAATAAAGCTTATAACTTATATTATTTAATATAATTTTTTTTTTATATTTATTAAAATAATTACTTTTTATATAATTAATATATTTACCTTTTTCCTATTTTATATTTAAAATATAAGCTAATTTTTTATTTTTTTTAAAATATTATAAATAAAATAGTTTAATATAAGCTAAAATAATAGAAAAAAACTTTCCTTATTATATAAAAATAGGGATATTTATAGTTTTTTATTTTTATTAAAAATTAAATTAAAAATATATTTTTAATTAAATTTAAGTTTAAATAATTATATTATTATTTTAAATATTTATTTATTAAGCAATTAATTTATTTATTAATTAATATTAAGTATATTATTAAATTTTTTATTTTAAAAGTAATTTTTAAATTTTATTATTATTATTAACTTTATAATTTAGCTTTAAAAAGGTTTAAATTTAACTTTAAAAATAATTTAAATTTTAATTATAAGCTTATTATTAATATTATATATTTAAGTAATAAGCTAGTTTTATATATAGTTAATTTAATAATTTTATTTTAAACTAAGCATTTTTTTTTATTTCTATTAGTAAAAGATATATAAAAAGCCTTATATTTAATATAAATTAATACTTATTTTAAACCTTTTAATTATATTATTTATAATACTAATATTAATTTTGCTTTTATAAAGTTTAAAAGTACTATTAAAATTATAAAAATTACTTATAAATAAATGCTTATTAAAGTTTATTAGTTTATTAAAAAGGTTAAGTAATATTATATTTTTATTTAATAGGTATATAAAATTTTATATACTAAGCTTTTAAATATATTTTTTATAAAGTTTATATTTTAAATAACCTTTAAAGCTATTAATAATATAACTAATTTAAATAGATTTATACTTATATTTTTTATTTTTAAAGTTTACTTTTAAATAATATTTAATTCTTTACTTATATTATTTATTTTAAAAAAAGCTAAAGTAATTTAAAAAGCTATAAAAGTATTAAAAAAGTTAATTGCTAAGTAGTAAGTTAATATAGCTTTAAATACTTAGAATAAACTAATAATATTAAATATTCTAGTATTTTCTTTATAAAATAATATTTAAATTTAGAAAGAAAAGGAAGGCTAGTAAAGCCTATATAAGCTTTTAGCTATTAATAGTTATAATATAATCTTTAATTTACCTAATAGCTTAGTTATTTTTTAATTAATTTTAATTTAATTATATTATTATAATAATAATATAAATTTAAAAAATAATATAATAGTAGTTATTAATATTAAATTATAATAATAAGTTTTACTATAAATTAAACCTAATTTAAATTAATATTAATTACCTTTTAAGCCTTTTTAGCCTTAATAATAAAGATAACCTTATAAATTTAAAAATAAGTTTAAGCTAGTTAAAACTTTATTTATTTAATAGGAAAAAAATAATTATAAGTTTATATTTAAGTTTTGCTATAATAAAGTAATTACTATTTTTAGCAATTTTTTTAAAGAATTTAATATTTAAAAAATATTAAATCTAATTAAATATAATATTTTTCAATTTAAACTTTACTATTTTAATAAGTATAATATATTTAAACTTTTTAAGTTTTATATAATTTAAAAAATTAAAAATAAAACTAAAAAGCTATATAAAAAGTTATAACTTATTATATAAAAGTATAATAATAAAGAAAAGAAAAATATTTTAATATAGTTACTAACTATATAAAAAGTTAACTAGCACTTAATTATAGCTTTAGTATTATTTTTATTAAAAATAAGTATAATTATTAAGCTTTAAAATATTATTTAAGCCTATTTATAGTTTAAAATAGTATTAAAATATATACTTTTTATAAGCTTATTATTAAAAATTTAAAATAAATATTTAATAAATACTATTATAAAAGTTATTAAGCTATTTTATAATATTATTAAAGTAAGTATTTACTAATAAGTAATATACTATTATTACTATTATAATAAATTAAATATAAAAATATTTACTTATAACTTATACCTTTTAATTTTTATTTATAATTAAAACTACTTTAGTATTATAGCTATATAAATAAATAATACCTTTTTAATAGTTATTTCTGTTTTTTTAATGCTAAAAAAGGAAAAAATTTAGAAAAAATAAATTTACTATAAGTTAAAAATTAAACTTATAATTAATAACTCTTTTAACTTTAATAATATAAAAATTACTATAAATCCTAATAAATTTATTAATTTTATTTAAAAAGGTTAAAGTATAAAAATTAATTTAATTAATATTAAATTTTTAAACTATATTTAAAAATACTTTAAATAATATATTTATAAAGTATATTTAGTATTTATATATTAATTAAAAGTAGCTTTTAACCTATTTATAACTATTTAAATTTAAAATCTAGATAATGCTATATATATTAAACTTAACTATTAGCTTTAATAGTAAGTATAAAACTTTAGCTATAAATTATAATATATTTCTATTAACCTTGCTTTAGCTAAACTTATAGTTTTTATAAATAATTTTTTTATAAATAACTAAAACTTTAGCTTTTAAATTAGCTTTTTAATTACTTTAATTAATAAAAAAAAAAGTATTAACTTTATAAAATAAAAAATAATTAGTAATATTTTATATTAATTTTTAACTAAATATAAAAAAGTTATATAAAATATATTTATTTTAAAAATTTATAATATAATTAATAGCTTTAATATAAAAATTATACTTATTATAATTTTTTAGTAAATTATAGCTTATTTTAATACTCCTATAATACTATTAATAATCTATATAAACTTATACTTTTTTTATAAATATCTTATTAAGTTAAAAATTACTAAAAAAAAGCAATTAATAATAAATATAATAGTATTTTAATAATTATATAAGTAGTAAAAAATTTATAAGCTATATTAAATTAATAGTAATAATAACCTAATAAATATATTTATTAAAGTTAATTTAAATAAAATACTTAAATAGCTTATAATTATTAATAAATTAATTATTAAAATTAAAGGCTATATAAACTAAAACTAATTAATTTAATAAAAAAAAAATTATTAAAAATAAAATTAATTTATAATAATAAAGTATACTAAACTTAAATAATAAAACTTTAAATTAATTTTATTATCTTTAAACTAGCTTATATTAATTAATAATTTATACTTTTAAACTATATTTCCTTAAATTTATTCTAAAAATATACTTTATAATAAATTTTTATAATATAGCCTATATATTAAAAGTTTAAATAATAAAAGTTATTATTATTTTATAAGCTAAATACTATTTAATATTTAATAAGTATTTTTAATTAAATTTTATAGTATTAATACTTATATATTAAAAGTTAATTAGTTAATTAATTAATTTTATATTTTTATTATTTATTATTATTTATTAAATTTATTAAATCTATTAAATTTATTAATTATATTTTTTTTTTATCTTATTTTATTTTATTATTATTTAATATTTAAAATAAAGTTATATTAATATTATTAATTAAGCTAATTAATATTAGCCTAGCTTAAAAATTTATTTTTATTTATTTATTCCTTAAATAGTAAAATTATAAATTTATAAACTATTTTAAAATAAAGTTATTTATAAGGCAAAAGTAATTATTAAATATTAACTTAAAAAGTAATTTTAATAATAAAAGTATTATAGCAATTTTTATTTAAACTTAATAAACTCGCTTATTTTAAAAACTTTTAAATAAATTTAAAAAAATTAAATACCTAAATTATTTAAGTACTTAATTAAAGTATATAAGTAATTACTTTAATTATTAAAGTTTTAAATTTAAATTATATAAAAAATAGTTTTTAAAAAAGTTTTTAATATTTATAAATATATATATATATTTAATAAAAAACTACTAATATATAAATTATAATATTAGCATTTATAGTAAGCTAATTAGTTTATTAAGCCTATAGCTATAAGTAGGCTTTAAAAGGATATAGCCTTTAGCTGCTTCCTATAACTAAGTAAGCAACCTACACCTAAATAAATACTAACATCCCTAAACGCGCATTATATTCGAATACGTAACCCAGCCAACACTGTTTATCTTTAGCTACTTGTCGTCTCACAAATCCCACCGCTCGCTAGCGTATAGGCAGCATCATTGAACAGTCTTTTAAGTAAGCACGGAAACTTGACCTATCTGATGAAGTTCGTCCTCTCTGGCTGCGATCGCGACTTGAGCCGATAAATCTTACAATCACCCCCAAGAACAGAAGATATCTTTGTTGCTTTCCCGAAACTAGCGCATCCCATTGCAGCTCCTACCGTGTACCGTGCACACCCCCTCAGCCCCATACGCCGTGAAAGCATGGGCTCGCCCTCTATCCTTGGGTATCAATCCAGATCTATCAGCCTCCGGTTCAGGTTGCGGCGGCTAGCACGGCGGCTTGCTCGCGGTTTCCTGGTTTTCCTAGTTGTCTGGTCCCTACTCTGCTACACACAACCTAAGCCGTTCAAGGATCACATCTACTGGAGAGTCAGTGAAGGTGTCCTCTACGCTCGTCACGTCACACAGTACGACTTCAGACCAACGTTATTCGAACAGCAGTGTTTCGATGGCACAGCCGCTCGCATTAATGAACACGACCTGAGTGACTCAATACCAGAGAAAGTCCACTTCATTTGGGCTGCAAACAGTGAAATACCATTCAAGGTGTACCTTGCTATTCGAGCTGCTTTGATCTCGACTGGAATTAATTCCATTCATCTGCACCACAATATACCGCTCAATGAAGATAACCAATGGTTCCAATTGTTGCAACCAAACCTTACTCTCGTCCATTTCGAGAACTCCGATTATCTCAAGGAGGTCGCCGCATATCATCCCGAGACATGGGACGTGTCTCACCAGGTTGATGTCATGAGGCTTCATGTCCTGCATACTGAAGGCGGTATCTATCTCGATTCAGATGCGTACATCCTCAGGCCACTTCAGAATCTCTTCCTCGGAACACGCGACGTTTACATGGGCTATGAGGCCGGGAACAGATGGGGTCTCTGCAATGGAGTGATCATGGCTAAAGCTGGGGCTCCTTTCATCAAGCAGTGGCTGGACGAGTACGCCAACCTCGATGATAGTGATTGGAACTATCACTCCGTCCACCTCCCAAAGGTGCTTGCTGAGAGACACCCCGGGGACATATGTGTGCTCAGCCCCAGTGCTTTCTTCTGGCCGATGTGGACCAAGTCTGCGGTGGCCTGGATGCATGAGCCGTTGGACAAGCAGGAAGCGACAAGAGTGGAAGGGCAGATAGAAAGGAGCGGAGGGTCGTTATTCGAGGACCAGCTGATTTATCATGCCTGGGCCCATGCGGCTGAAAAGTACTTGGACAGACTGTCGCCGGAAGTAATTCAAGAAAAAGACACTCGATTCAACATTCTCATGAGAAGATTCATACAATGAGAAACTCCCGGGCTTCGTCACAAGCTGAAAAGATAGCATAAAGTACATAGAATAGACAAATCATTATCGTGGTGGTTTCGGTGTTTTTGACCTATTCTCATATCTTCAGCCCTTTGCAAAGTTGACACCATTCACATGTGTGACAGCGATTTTGCTTTATATGTTTTGTCGGATGCAAAGAAAGGCAAAGCTGGCTTGCGTACTGAACAGCAGAATGTTTCTACTTAAGTAGACTCCCCAAAAAGTGTTCTCCAGTTCTCCAAAGCTATACATGGCAATGATATCTAGTCCATTATCTTTACCCCAATCCCTAACCCGAGCTCTGAGACGAGCCCGTGATCAAGTAAAGTAGGAAGCTCTACCGTGCCTGTGAGCAGCAAGCAAACCACACCGTGCTTTGCTCCAGCGAAGTGAACACAAAGCCACTGATAAGCATAGCAATTCCTGGCCTTATCGATGACGCGCCCCCTTGAATTTTGATCGTCAAGCCACAATCAGTACCGGACTCTACAAGTAAACACCCCGATCTTCCTGGTCGTCACAATAACAAATCGAGATTGGTGTCGATTATGGACAAATTTCTACACGCTCATCGACTCCAGAGTTCCTTCATCTCATTAATCCCATAAGAATTTGTAAGTCTCTTAGAGCAAGAAGTAAGTTCAGGACGCCCCGTCAGCCTTGTCGCGTGCAGCCTGACGCGTGTCTAGTGGTGATGAATCCAGAGATGGATTTCAGCCTAGACAACAAGAACCATGTGCGACCGGAGAGTCCATCCTCATCCGGAGACGAAGACGAGGGCAAAGTCGCGACCGTGGGTCCACGGGAGTAGCAGTCGAGTGTCCCGACCCCCTCTCCCCCCAGCACCGCCACCACTGGAGAAGGCGACGTAAGCCATGCCAGTAACAACTCGACTGACCCCACACAATCGCGTCTTCAAGAGCTTCAGCGAGAACTTGCCGAGCTTAAACAAGAGAAGAAGGAGGCTCAGCGGGAACTTGCAGAGCTTCAACAAGAGAAGAAGGAGGTCCTCGCGACGCTAGAGCGCCTACTTCTCGTGCGCATGATAGAGTGGACGAAGATCGCTGAGCACCCTGACACACCCTCTGATTTGGAACGGGAGGCACGCAGCATGTATGCTCTATTACATGCCATTCTTACCCCGGTGTGCGCAGGCTCCCTAGGCCACACGCTGTCAATCCTGAGAACCTCCAGGTGCCTCATGGAGGCTACCTCCAGCCGCGCCAAGCAGATCATGGAGAGAATCAGAAAGGGTGATAGTGAGGAGGGTGGCGGATCTGGTGAGGAAGGTTCTGGCTCAAGCCAGGCGGGACAAGATAGAAGAGGAGACGATTCTGTTTGATTGCTTGTGGATTTATCAACTCTCTCTGGGCGCACAGCTGCACTCTTCACTGTTTGTAGAGCTTGATGAAGACGAGAATACTTCGGACAATGAGAGATAAATCACACTGTTACATCAGTCTGGGAAAGAAAACCAGGAGTCTGTTCAAGTCGGTTGTCATTGTGTATTTCGTGCAAGTTGATTCCTACTCTGTGTTAAAAGCAAGTTACCCTTGTCATGTCTGCGTCTTTGCAAACACTATGCAAATAGTTGTCCCCCGTTCCAATGAATCCGGCCCCAAATGGCCATCAAAGTATTAAAAATCACAAACTTTTCCCCTTTTTTTCTTTCTTCAAAAATCCGGACAAACAGAAAATGTAGGCAGACACCAAGTGTCATGCCAGAAGAACTACAGGCTCCATGATGTGTGCCCGTCAGTGCGCCTTGTCCGACCGGTAAAGACCAGTGATGCCCCGCATGGTTCGAGGTCTGGTAAAGGCCACAAGTTTCTCCTTGTCCAAGTTATGGACAGAGGCGATCTCGGTCAAGCCCAAGTTGCGGCCATTCCAGCCGTGGTTCCAGAAAGTGACGCCACAGTACAGCTTGACAAACGAGTGCCAGTACGCAAAGGCGAGGTATCCGGGGAGCCAGACGAGGTCGGACGGGTGGTCCACAAAGTGCGGGGCGATCTTGACCATTTTGGATCCCAGGATCCAGGCTACCATCAGTGCGACCAGGAGAGAGGGGTTGTCGGACTCGAGGTAGAAATTGGTATGCATGAGGGTCCGGACAAGGAGAGGGTCCCAGACGATGGCAAAGTTGACGAGGCTGGTGATGTAGATGGCGTAGACACTCCAGGGGAAATGGCGCCATGTATGTGCCTGGCGGAGGCTGGCTATGTTGCTCCGCCAAGTCGTCCGGGTCTAGCGGAGGATCTGGTCGTAGAACTTGCTAGGATCGCCGAGGGGAGTGACTATCTCACAGTTTGGGGTGTACTGGATGCGGATCTTCCATCCGTTGCGGAGCACCCATCTGGTGATGTAGTTGTCGTCGTCGGGGTTGAGAGGTCCCAGGAGGCCAAACAGAAAGCGCTCATTCTGAAAACCATCGATGAAGTTCTCGTTTCGGAGGATATCGGTTCGGAGGGCGGAAGTGCGACCGGAGACGACAAAGACACCGCCATCGATGTAGGGCTCTGAGCGGATCTGGAAGTTATGGCGGCACAAATAGATGCAGGCCAGGAAGTTAGTGTAGGACTTCCAAAAGCCACCCTCCTTGTCTCTGATGACTTTTTTGTTTGTACCGACGAAACCGACAGCAGGGTCATCAAAGGCCGCAAGAAGTGAAGTCAGGAAGGTGGGCTTCCAGTAGACATGATCATCGACACAAACTGTGATCGGCGTGAAAGTTGGGTCAATCTCGAGACTAGCCCGAGCAATCTGCTTACGCTTGTTGGCCTTGTTGGTCGTAATAACAGTGATTGTCGCTGTGTCCGGAAACCGCTCACGAAGCTTGTGGGTGTCGATGATCTGGAGCACATCATCCTTGAGCTTCACACCAACCGTAGCGATGACTAGGCTGATAGGGCGATTGCCAAGTATAGTCTCACAGCAGTTCAGGAAGGCTTTGGTGTGAGGAGCCACGGTCGGGATGATGACAGCCACATCACAGCTGGTGTAGCGGGGCTTCTCCTTCTGTCGAGCGGGGCTGTAGAGGACACATCCTGTGATCAAGTGGACGATGAATCGGAGATATCGAAAGACGAAGAGAAAGATGAAGAGGAGGTCGGTAGACGAGAGGTTCTGGGCCATATCGGCGAAGTAGCCATTGGCATTATTAAACAAGTTCGAAGCCATCTCGGTCGAGGTCCGGGGATTCTGACAAGATGTAAGTATATGAGAATATCAGCTTTCGGAAGAAATTGCCCACATGATGAATGCCTTTGGATGGCAAGTAGTGCTGCTGTCAGCTGGAACGCGTGGAGGCGTGTCGAGTCGCGTCTGTCATTGAACGAGATGTGTCAGGTCTTGCACGAGGTATGTTGCTCTCGAACGAAGCATTGCTCACCTTGATCAAGATGATGTCTCCCGTGGGGCTTGGGGAAAAAGAGCCCTCACTTGATTGTAAAGTGGTGCGTTTGATGAAGGAATTAGGGGTGTCAGGGGATTTGTGGAAGCAGTCTAAATGGCTAGGTCTTATCAGGGAGAGAAAGATTGTGTATCTCGAGTTTTTTCAGAGGTGGCCCATGGTGGCTAAGGGTTTCCGACTTCCATCCGATTCCTGGAAGCTTACCATTCACTTCGACCGATTTCCATTCACTATCAGAGGGGTCTGGGAAGTTCAATGTTTGCAGCAGGAGGCTAGGCTGGGTATTGGAAACAGAAAGTAGCCAGAACCAGTGGTCCGAGGCTGGGCTGTTCAAATCGACCAATGAAGCCCGATCACATGTAACTAACCAAAGTCATTGTACTGTCTGAAGAATCGAGCTTCTGGGCATGGCATTGGTATGGATGAAGAGCTCGTCTGAACTTTGTGTGAGTCTAGGTATCTCTTTGAAGGTACGATTTTCATCTGAATTGGTTGTTTTCCCTGGTCTGCTCGTTGAGCGACTTTTACCTTCATTTATCATCGGGCCATAGTGCCGTCTTAAAATCGAGATGGATCACGTGTTCGTGTGTAGGGCTCATCCTTCTGGAAGCTCTTTGATTACAACTATATTTCCTGTCTCATTTTCGTAACAATTAGCGGTGGACCATTCACGCCTCTCATTCCACCATATTCACTGTGTATACTTTTGCTCCCAACCCTGCCAAGTCATGCCTCTAAAGACATTGTTGCTATGTGAGGGTTCCTGTGCTCCTTGCCGCCTGGGAAGGAGCCTTGGAAGGTGATCTATAAAATCAAGGGCAATGCTTCTTGGAAACGAACCGCTCCACGGCCTCCCTTGGTTCAAGTCGATCTTCCAACAGACTTCGGCAGCTATAGTCTTGGAGGAGGAAGAAATGCTCTGGCTTCCAATCAAAGCTCAGTCTCTGAGATTTGAAAGCATATCTGACGTAAAACTTTAGACATAGTATCTGAAGAGGGCAACTCTGAGGGACCCTTAGATGTGAGTTACTGTTCACATATAATTCTAGACCGCTGGGCTGTGCTGAAAATAGCACTAGTAAAGCTTCGTATAATCACAAGTCCTTCTTTAGATACAAGGTTCGGACATCAGACTAAGCGCATCTGATAGTTTGACATCTAGAGTGTCTTGGACACTATTGCAATCACACAGAGGGTGGGCTATCATCGTTTGAGAAATTGATAATTTACTGCTCAGCAGCTGTGAATGGGGCCATGTTCGAACGACTCATGGCCTCGGATGGTAGTTGCCGGGCGGGGTGAGCTAGTCAGCCATGCAAGCATGAAGAAATTATTAGATGTCGGCGAAGCCTTGCAGATAGACAAGGAGGTGGCTCAGGAAGACATTTTAATTACCATGCCAGCTTCACGATTGAAGGGAGCAGGCGATGTTAGATGGTAGTTGTCCGGGAGTTACCTGGTCTAAACAACCTCTCCGGTCTCCTTCGTTGCTGTCGTGTTGCTCAGGTCGTCTTTGCAGTCGCAAGCCAGGCCCATTACAACTTGTAAGAAGCAGATCACGCGCATAGTAGCTACCTGGAATCCAGGACGCATCGAAGTCAGCGCCAAGCTTACAGCATCCGCTATGACATTCCAAAGGTTCAGATATAGCGAGTGTCGACGGCATCAACCCAAGGATAGACGCAGCTGCAGTTTTCGATAAAGGGGGATGAGCCTATGCTTCGCAAGGCCGTCCCCGTACTGCTGGTTCATCAAGACTCCACCGACAACTGCGCGGAAACGTGGCAGAATATTCCACAGCTCCGTCGACTGTGCGTCCAGTAAACTATGTATTACTCCGGCTAGAAAATGTCCGCCCAATGAACGACCCTTGAGTAGAGGTTACCTAGATCAATATGTGGCTCTTGCTGGGGCAGTGCTTGGCCAGCACCGAGTGACGGAGACAATGAGGAGCCAAGTGATCGGCTCCGGTCGTTGAAACAAAGTTGATAGCCCCCCTTGCCACAGTAGAACGTCGGCGATCCCTTTGGTATCCTGGAAGGATGACAGCGGCATTGCCTATTTAAAATGATGACTCCACTGGCCAGAACTTCAGACTTAAACCGAAACCCAACTGCTCGGAAACTTGCAGATACCCGTTGGCAAACGCAGGGTGTCCCGCATATTCCTGCTGCGAAACCGAGCAGCAACTGCAGGCATCGTACAAGAGCTGGCAGCATTGGCTAAAGCATCGGATGTTGGGCGAGTCGCAGGACAACCTCGCTTGGAAATTATACTGTGCTCATTTGTTCACGGAGTACTGGTGTGGGCTCGAGGGAGCGGAGGCAAGAAGCACTCAGTTGCTGGGATAACCCTCGGTGCAGGTCGTGAGACGGCCGTAAATAGTCTTCTGGATAGCAGGGCTGAGGGAGGAATCGTGCAGGCGAGATTCGGGCCTCGATCTCGTAAGAGCGAGGGGATTGTGGAAATTCGCGGGCGTCTAATTGAAACATGAGGTGGAAACAAGTTTCCCCGCCAAGTTCGTTTCTCACTGCAGAATAAGATTAACAAGGTTGGGCCGGGGGACCCTGACAACTAACGATGCCTTTTTAGGCCAGACTCAGGGGTTCCAGGCCCCTGGGACCACTGCATCAAATCCCCCAGTCAGAACGGCCCACTGGCATGGCCCATGTATCCGCAATCCACCTCAGACACTCAGACGAGGGGTGGAAATCGTCAGATCGATGTGCAGAGCGATGTTTTCCTCCGGGACGCTGGGGTTTGGCCTCGATTCCGAACCAGAGTACATTAATGACAACGATGCCGCACATCATGCACACCATCTTTTTGGTCGCCATGAATCAGACGTCTTGTTGACCTTTGACGACATCTTCACCGCAGTTGATCTGCATCCACTCTTTACTTCAATTTCAACAGTTTGTTGACCACACTCACTTTTCGTAACCATGAGGCAGTCATTGCTGTCCTTCGTTCCAGCCCTGCTCTCCCTTGCGGGAGCCGCAGCGGCGCAGGGTCTGACCGAGTCGTCTCTGGAGACGCACGTTGACGCCATCACGCTGTCGAGCAGCTTCAACCCCGTCAAGGAGGCTTACTGGACCGGCTACAAGCACCACCGTCGTACGCCTTTCGCAGTCTCTCCCAACGGCAAGACAGCCTACCTGGCCTTCCTCGACTCCTCTGAGACTGGTGTCCACGTTCAGCCTATTGACCCCACCACCTTCAAGGCTACGGGCACCGTTGTGACCGTCGATGGTGGAAAGGAGGCTGGTGGCCTCGTCGCTCAAGACGATGGCTTTGCCCTGCTCACCAACGAGGCTATGCCTTCTGGCACGACCAACGCGCCCCCAGACAGCACCCCAGTCCCTGTGCTGTACCGCTTCGACGCTTCCGGCACACAGAAGTGGAAGACCTGGTTGGGCGGCCCCGATGTCGACAGCAGCGAGGGTCTCATGGCGGCACCGGACATGAACGGTGACCTTGTTTACTCCAACGCCACTGGCAGATACGCTGCTTACACCGTCGTCACTGCTTACAGCGGCTCTGCCCAGGGCCACTTCGGCGACGCCATCAACTACGTCGAGGACAGCACTGGTGACCGTGTCACCATCGAGGGTGCCACCTCGGCATGGGGATGCAGCCACAACACCGGTATTGCTCTCGAGGCCGCTGACGAGGCCCCCTATGCCAGCATCTGCGCTGAGGACCAGGGTGCTGTCTGGCTCAACTCCAAGGGCCAGGGTATGAGCACTGTCGGAACCAAGATCTCCAACGAGAACACCACCAACGGTGGTGGTGGTGAGTCCCTCGGTGGCATGTCTGGTTCTTTCAGCAACCTTGCTCGATTCCAGGGCAGCGACGCTTACATCTTCGCCTGGGTCTCTCGTGGTGCCAAGGACGTGACCTTGAACGACTGGATGGGAGACGGCTACACCCACGTCTCAAACCGCACCAACGGCCGCAACGTCGCCATTGCCACCTTCAGCGACAAGTACACCATGGTCGGCAAGCAGGCCACGAGCGAGGTTGGTGCCGCGTCCGGTGACGACCAGGTTAACTGGCTTACCACCGGCACGGCTGATCAGAGCAACGCTCACGTCGCCACCTTTGACAAGACCAACGCCCTCGTCACCTGGGAGGAGATTGCCGACCCCTTCTGCGAGTTCATCGCCATGGGATGCCGCGGCAAGTTCACGGGCTCCAAGTTCCAGCTCGTCACCAACGATGGCAGCGGCACTGTTGTTGGAGAGCCCATCACCAGCACGGATGTCACTGTCGCCGGTGATCTGGTCACCATGAGCGACGGCCGCATCTGCTGGCCCTACGTCAGCATGGACTGGGACCTCAGCTCCACCGTCGGCTACGGCGCTGCCAGCACCGTCACCAAGATGAGCTTCGCCTGCATCAGCCTCAGCGGCTCTGGCTCCTCTACCTCTGGCTCTAGTGCTTCTGCCAGCGCTGTTGCCTCTACCAGCGCTGTTGCCTCCTCGTCCGCTGCGGCCGTCGCAACGTCCAGCTCTGTTGCCTCTGTCGCTAGCTCCGCTCCTGCGACAACCAGCTCCGTTCCCGCCGTCGTCGCCGCTGCTGGTGGCGATGACACCGACGCCTCCGTGCCCAGCTCCTCCGCCGTGCCAACCTCCTCTGCCGCCCCCGTGGCAGCTGAGCCGGCCGCCGAGCCCACCGCCAGCACTTCGACCGCCCAGTCCGTCAAGCCGCGCCCAACCAAGCGCCCGTGCCCCAAGAAGAGGCGCGAGGCTATGCTGGCCGCCATGAGGGCTTAAAGGCTCTCATCTGAGGGGTTGAACTGATTTCAAAATTGGAGGGTAGGATGGACGAAGCGTGGCTACTTTTCATGTATATAGTTCGGCTTGTTGCATTTCGGACCATTTAGCGCGACCTGTATGTCTATCATCAAATATCAAAGCGAACGGAACCAGTTGGTCACCGCCAAGTATGTCGAGTTATCCATCGTGGTCTTGTGATTGGGTGGTCATGCCTGCGCCGAGTGACACATATCGTAGAGATTAAGAGAGTGAGTCCAGCGATGACAAATGTGCATGATTCCTTGACTTGTTTCTTTACCTCCACTTGCCTCGTTTTTGGCCCTAGGGAGATGTTGCGGTGCCAAAAGCTCCGGCAGTGAGACACGCAATGAGCCCTGAGACCCAGCTAGAGTCACAAGCAACTGGCCAGCAAGGTGCGGTGGGGTAAGGGCGGCTATTCAGAACAGAGAGAAACCTTAATGAGATGTCGTGCGCGTTCGCAAGATCGCCGAAAGTATTATGCGGACAGTCCAACGAATCCCTACTCCCGTCGTTATTCCCGGCATGAAGCCGCGAGCTTTGCTGCCTTTCCACAGTCAGCACCCGCTTACGGAGGCCACGGAAAGCAAATAAACAAGCCGAGATCCGTAGTGTTAAGCTTAATGGTCATGTTGCGATGCGCCTATACCAAAGAGAGTGAAAACATTCAAGTAGCGTTCTTGGGTCATGTCCAGATGTGACCAGTCACTGGACTCCGATCTAGATCCGCTGGCAAGCGTAATTAATGACATCGGGAAACGTGACATCAATGTGACAGTCTCCGTTGTCAATACGCTCAAATATCGAATGTATAAGGCAAGCAATATCACATTTTGAGACAAGGGCCTCCGACTACGGCGGCGACTTGAACAATATAATGAAGACAAGGAGTCCAGAGAGCAAGGAGAATGCGAGGATAACAATGTTCTGAATAGTCTATGAGAAGATACACAGCCACAAGAACGGAGAAATGGCCTATCAACAAAAAGCACTGGTTAGCGACGATCCCGATTTGACAACCCTGTACGAATTCCGCAATGCTAAGGACTATGCTGCTTACCTCCTGCCACATATCAAGCCCGACTTCCACATCCTCGATGTCGGGAGCGGACCGGGCCGAATGACACACGACTTCTCACTTCTCGTGCCACATGGCAAAGTCGTCGGTATCGATATATCACCGGGCATTTTAGCAGAGGCAGCCGCTAAGTATCAAGAGCCGAACCTCTCGTTCGAGCTCGGAGATGCGTACGAGCTGTCACAGTTTGCCGATGCCAGTTTGTAAGCCTGACTATCATGACGTTGTATCTCTTCCCAAGTCTTGAAGTGTCCGGACTATTGTTAACTGTTGTGGTCCCAGCGATGTGATACACGCTCACGCAGTCATCATGCATCTTCCAGATCCAATTAAGGCGTTCAAGGCCATGTACCGTGTCGTGAAGCCCGGCGGAATCGTGGCAACAAGGGATCCCTCCGGCAGGGGAATCGTGTCGATCATTCCCGATCGACCACCTTTTACTGAACTGATGACTGAGGCTTCACCGGCTCAGATGAAATATATAGATGCAGTAGGGTCGTTCAGCCAGTTTGGCCTGCATAAAGAGAAATGGGCTAGGGAAGCGGGATTTGGAGAGCGGGACGGTGGGAAGATCGAGGTAAGGCTAAGCTACGAGCATGTGACTACGGCTTGGAACCTCTTCCGCGGGTCCATGGCGGATCAAGCTGTCAGGCTAGGTATTATCACACAGGAGCAGGTCACTCGCTGGGCAGACATCTGGAGCGAATGGACCAAGGAGGAAGACCGTCTTGCGAAGAAAGAGTTTGTAGATATGTTGTGTTTTAAGGGCAAGAAGGACTAGAATTGTCTCGAGATTTGTGGAAGCCCAAGACTTCCCCAAAGGCATTGACCAAGAGTGTTGCCTAGAAGTCTTGTTAATTTTGCTGAACTATTGTGTGACTTTCTAATATCTACAACAGTCCTCGTGCAGCATGTTTGCTGACGATCAGTGGATGCACATGATCTAGAGATTGTGCGGCAAACTGGAATACCTGGGTCTTCATGGCTACTAGTAGTCAACCAACACTTCGCATAAACCTAGTATCTCTTGACTCCCAAAAGCTCTTCCTCTTTCTCGAAATCTGGCTTCTCTTCTTTGATGATTTTCATATTCCAATTGACTGCTATATAATGGAAAATGTTTGGAAGTTAGACGGGTGGCATCACTACGTCACACTTCAACAAGTTCTCGACATCAACACAGAGAACCCCACCCTCGACCTCGATCCCCTAGGATGAAAGGAATCCGGAAGTTGTTGAGAACAAATCACATCATTATTTCTTACAGAAGCGAGAATGATGTTTAAGCATTCAAATACACCAAGCATTTCTCCCGCCCCCTTTCTGAATCGATCAACTTCATCGGTGGTAGATAATTCACTCATAGGAAAGCTTTAGAAACCAACAAGGGATTGCGGAGCTTCAGATTCGTCAAAAAGGTGAGGGATGCGCCCCGGTCTTATCATTCGATGTTGTTCACTGCACCCGTGGCCAAAGCCATGCCTATGAGAACTTTCGTGATGCGGTGCGGGTACTTCATACAGGGAGCCAACTATACTATCAGAATATAAGGCACAGCTGAATTCCATCCTGAGATAAAGCGGTATGATGACTGACTGGATTAGATCCACTCGTCTTGCATACAGTGCAGTCACGAGGGCGCTCTCTCGACGACAGCGAATGACAAGCGCAGATGCAAAGGATAAAATATCATTAAAGCCTCACACAGGGAAGAAAATTCTCAGCACTGGTCACATTGTTATGGTTATGAGCAACACGGGAGGGAGACCATCTCCGGGTTCCCAGCTCAAGGCTGAGTATCCTGGTCCTCGATCCACAAATCTGCATGTCAGCCTAGGTTTGACGCGCCGAGACATCAGGGTGCAGATGAGAAATGATCATTTTGCAAAGTATCTGGGTACTCTCCATTAGCATTTATTCCCCAACATCCATTCCGCTGTCTGCCCCGATCATCCCGAGCTCCTCACAATCTCACTCGCCAACGATCAATGCCGTGTGACCATGATTTTGACTCCCGCTTCCCAACAGTAGCAACGCGCAATGGGCAAAGGACAGGAAACTGAACTTTGGCCTACTCAGAGCGGCGCAACTAAGCAGAAATCCCAACCCGATGTCTCGATAAAACGTGATGGCTCAGAAGAGGAGGCCATCCTAGAGAGAACTACTCGGGTGAGAAGGGTATTCTCTTTTGCTCAGTTCTTCTCGTTCTCCTTGGCCTACATGGGGGCTTGGGAAGGGGTTTGCGTGTACACAGCCCTTTAAAAGCCTTCCTCTAATTACATGGGCTAATGATCCCGCAGGAACTTGGTATTTGCGCCCATCAATGGCGGACCGCGAACCTTATTCTTCGGTATGATCATCGCTGTTGTCGGAGCTCTTGCACAAGCAGCCTGCATGGGAGAAATGGCGTCAATGATTCCAGTCGCCGGCGCGCAATATCATTGGACATGGCACATGGCACCAAAGAGCATCAAGATGTTCGCAACCTGGGTTCAGGGCTGGACAACATGGTTCGGCTACATAGCACTCCAGGCGGCTCTCGCCAACATCTTGGTCGTGCAGTTGGAGTCGCTGATCTCTCTTAACTCGACAACATATGTCGCTGGGGGATGGAAGACATCGGTCTTGGTCATTGCATGTGCGACCTTCCAGGGTCTCATTAACGTCTATGCCTTCAAGGTAATCCCGTGGCTTGAGATGATTTCGAGCATATTGCATGTCGGGCTGTTCCTCCTTGTCCTTGTTGTGTTTGTGGTGATGGCACCAGCACACGACGCAAGCTTCTTATTGGAACCAATGGTCGCTTCGGGATGGGATCAAAATCCATATATATCATGGCACTTGGGCATGCTGACATGCATATTCAGCATCACAGGTGCGTTCTGAGACTGAAACATAGTGTCTTGCTTTCTCTGCTGACTTGATCTCCAGGGATCGATGGAGTCATACACATGTCTGAAGAGACTCGAAGGGCAAGATCTGCAGTCCCTCGAGCCATGGTCTGGTCGATTGCCATCAATGGATCGCTCGCCATTATCATGGCTGGAATAATACTCATCTATCTGGGCGACGTAGATGTTACTCTGGGATCTCCCAACCCTTTCGCCACCATCATGCTCAATATTACGGAATCCAGAGCTGCCACTACAGCGATCATATGCGGATTCTTTCTATTGGGCTTCAACAGTAGCTTGACCACCATCAGCTCTGTATCTCGTCTGACCTGGGCCTGGTCTCGAGATGGTGGCCTTCCGGCATATTTCACCTATCTCGACCCGAAGCATCGAATCTCCGTTAGCTCGGTGTGGCTGAGTGTCATCTTTATTTCCCTCATTTGTTTGCTGAATATTGGTTCTCAGGGCGTCATAGCGTTCAGTGCCATAACATCCCTATCATCATTCGTTTTCTTCTTCAGCTACTCGGTTGCTTTTGCCTGTCTTCTATACTCTCGTCTGGCGGAGAATATCAACATGGGCGAGTGGAACATGGGAAACTGGGGAATCCCAGTGAACATATTTGCTCTGATCTACAACCTCTATATCATGGTGTTCCTGCCTTTCCCATCGGTGCTGCCCGTTACGGCCAGCGGAATGAACTACATGGGACCAGTCTTTGGATTTGTTTTGATCGTTGTCATTGCATGGTGGTTCCTGTACGGCAGAAGCCGCTGGTACGGAGCGAACTTGACGATCATGGAATACGTCATGACTCACTCCTAAGCTTGGGATTGACCATGCGGTAAAGGGATGCCCAAGGATGTACCGAATAGTAAGATAGCCCCACTGCGAAGACTATACTCGTTGCTAATACAAGTCTACCGCTAATACGGCCTGCAACACAATCTGTAAAAGGGCCAGGGCAGCATGCACAATTTGGTTGCTGTGGATACTGGTAGCGCATCTGGAACGCTGCTTTCAATTAAATCCACGGCCCGGAATGCTTTTCATTTCAATACAGTCGACGCAGCCAGCATGGAACGAGAATGCATAAGAAATAATGAGAACTGAGGAAGAAAAAAGGGAAAGAAGACGGGCAGTGTGGATCAAGTTGAGTAGCCACCGATTCTATAACCTCCTATTCTACTGCATCTCCGTCGCTCCATTGTTGCGTATCCGTATTCCATCCCACTGGTAACCCTAAATCCTCCCAGTGATTCCTCCGATCTCTAGACTCGGAATTCTAAACGCGATACCCCGGATTGAAGATAGGAGAAGCATGTGGCGTTGCTGAGAACAAGAGTCATAGCTGCCTCCAGGCCGTTTCCAAGCGCGTAATTATTTCTCCTGTGCCTGCCGACCTATCTGCAACCAGGGAATACATGAATCTCCTAAATACAAGCAATTGCACCGAGGAATGCGCTCGCTGGAGAACTGTGACTCTGCAGTCGATCGGAACTGCAATTTCGTAACGTTTTCCTTTTTTCACATGAGCATGCGACTTCGGGAGCGGTACTGGGTCATGGAGGCGAAGATCCGAACATTCCCTGTTCTTATGGGAACAATACGAGCGCTACCTGACTCTCATACCTGAGCGTCCCCAAACGACCGAGACCATCGGAGGTACTTGTACGGGATCCTGATCATGCTTTTCTATCCTTCATCGGCCGGAAAGATGAGACGACATGGCAGCCCTCTTGCTAGGTTCACCCATGAATGTGGAGCTGTCACTCTATGCCGCATACGGCAACCCATCCATATAAGTCAACTGATGTTGCATTTATGGGCGCAACGGTCGGAGGATTATTGGTTGGCTTGACTTGGCAAGTCAGTGATCTTCCGGGGTGCGTTCAAGTTCTCAACCCCCTGACGTATCCGTTGACAAGATGGTGTATACAGAACCGATGTATAAGACCTCGAAGCCGCAAGACAAAGTTCACCTTGTGTTCGCGAAAATGTTCTCAGACGCATATTCCTGTTGTATCCTGCTCTGCTCAGATTCCAGTCTCTAGAATCCACAATGCGTTCTCTGGCCCTTGTCAGCCTTATTCTCTCCGGAGCGCTCGCGCAGAAGACGCCAGTGAGCACCGCTGTCTTTGATCAGCTGTCTCGCTATGCTCGCTTCGCCTCGGCTGCTTACAGCTCAGACTGCACTAATCCACCTTTTGGCTCAACTGTCGAGAAGACATTTGACGACACGGCCACTGATACGCAGGTCACCCTGTTTCGCGATGACAGCGCACAGGAGTATATCCTTTCATTCAGGGGGACATCCAGCGTCCAGGACTTTGTGACAGATTTGGAACAGACTTTGGTGTCTTGCTCCGCAGCAGACGGAATATCCTGCCTTGGATGTACAGTAAGTCTGCCACCAAATAGTCGACTATCTCAACGTGATCACTAAATCTTCTCGATTACAGTGTGCTCAGGGCTACCTTGGCCAATATGTGTCTGTCCAAGACGACATCGTCACCACTTTGACATCAAGTCTTGCTTCAAAGCCGAGTTACAAGCTCATTGTGACCGGCCACAGCATGGGAGGTGCTCTAGCTTCTCTAGGTGCTGCGTCACTTCAGGGGCAGAATTTCACCCTTACTGCATACACCTACGGGCAGCCACGCACGGGGAACCAGGATTATGCAGACTACGTGGACAAAGTGTTCCCCGGGGGAAACACTATGATCCGGGCTACACATTCGAACGACGGAGTTCCACAGATCCCGGCCCAGTCGGACGGGTACCGCCACCATACGACAGAGTACTGGCAGAGCGACGACTCAAATTCGTCCTCAACGACCTTCCAGTGTACTGGCCAAGAGCCTCAGGACTGTAACCAGAGTGAGAAAGGTTACGGCATTGGGAATGGTGGGATAGGTATAAACGCTGCTCATCTGACATATTTTGGAATCAGCATCGGCAATCCCCTTTTCCCTAACGCAGCTTGCTGAAAGGTGGACTCGAGTCAAGGAGGTCTGGAATGGACTACGTAGGGTTGTAATGAGAAACGCAGGGGTCTAGCGTTCGGGTTCTCTTCTTCTGTGATGTGACAGCCGAGAATCACACCGCATGCCCGATGTCCTTAGCTGATTATTGTAAACCTGCCGAGGTATTGACATCCATCTCCACATACTGTTGTCAAGCAGCTGAGAAAGTCGTGGCTGGGTAGCCGGGAGTTGAAAGGCACTCTTTGAATGTTGCTTGGATTCATATGCAGCAGCAGCAATATAGCAGCATTGCTAAACTGCCGATCCAGCGTTTGTTAGAGAGTCGGTTGTTTTGTTCCCCCACTGAGGTATGCACAGCAAGCACTGAGCGCGACACAGCACCAGCCGTCGAATTCTATCCATCTCGTCCAGACTTGCACTGATCTCAGCCCTCACATCAGAGATATACCCTCACCAGTCATCGATTATTTTGAACTTGCAGCGATCACATTTTACCTTGGGAACACTTGGGATGCATTTTGTTCCGGGGTATTTTGGATGACACCCCGCCCTGCCCGCTTCAGCTGGACCTGTCAAGAATCCGGCATTGATCGACGGGATACCTTGATCCTGGTCCACAGGTTTTGGAGCCTAAAGATGCGATTGGTTCAACGGTTTGACAGCTGCTCAAAATACAATGTCGGCATTGTCCACAATGGGATGAAAGCTGGAAACTGATGCGAACGTCGTCTGGTTGATTGTTCGGCGAATCTCCGATCAGAAAGCTTCTAGAGGCCTCGCGAGGTCGCATGGGAGAGAGAACAGTGACGTCGATCGACGCGTTGTGTTGTTTTTTGCGGGGTAAGAGTTGCCCCCGAAAGTCAGCGAGTGCTCGTCAAAGAATGGACTGTCCTAGAAGACACTAACAACCCGGCCACGTGGTTACCTGACCAATACCAAGTACTTGGTGTAGTACGAACCCCTGAGCTTGCAGCCCCGGATGGGGCCGGTCGGAGATGAAGCTATCGTGAGCCGTACCCATTTCTCGGGCTACATCATACCGAAATGGGACACGCCAAGGGTCTCCCCCAGGTTGTTCCTCACATAACCAGATTTAGGCTATTTCACTACCCCTCGTGCACTTTTGCAATTCTTCCGCAATAGACCCTTAAAATTTGTCGCTCCGTAGTAAATAATGAAAAGTTCAGACGAAAACATCATGTAGCCGGAGCTTTGGAATCACTGAGCATCTCCCAAACTGGTTCCTAGTGGTTACGTGGGAAAGCGTCTGTCCCATCTTAATAACATGGCGCCTAGATTGCGGTGGCTTGTAGCTGCTTTGTTCTTAATTCTGAATTCTTATGTCCATCTTACTTCTGCGTTTGTGATACATGCGCGGAACGAGACCAGCGTAATACGTGAACGCATAAGTCTGAATTCAGCGTGGCGCTTTCTCCGCAGCGAAACAAACCCAGACGGCTTGACCTACGACATCCGCCCTGACCAAGCAAATTTGACTCTGGAAATCCTCAAACCATGGATTCTTCCAGCCGCCAACCAATACATCGCAAACCCGGCCGACAGATACCAAGTTCCAGATACGGAACCACCAGGGAGTGATGTTGCGTACCTGCAAAAAGGTTTCGACGACGGTGCATGGGAGACCGTAATCCTGCCACACGACTGGGCCATCGCAGGGCCGTTCTACACGGATGAGGACGATCCAGTGGTAGGTGGTGGCATGGGCCGTCTTCCAATCCAAGGAGTAGGATGGTACCGACGGAACATTTCGTGGACAGAAACAGAATCTGCTCTGGGAAGGCTGGCATACCTCGATGTCGATGGAGCAATGTCGTACGCGATGGTGTGGCTGAACGGAAAATTGGTTGGAGGCCGGCCATACCCGTACAACTCGTTCCGTCTAGACCTTACACCCTATCTCGAGCCTGGAGACGACAATTTACTAGCTATCCGGCTGGACAACCCTAACGAGTCAGCTCGCTGGTATCCTGGTGCCGGCATTTATAGGAACGTTTGGCTCACGAAGACATCTTCGGTACATGTTGGTTATGATGGAACCTATATCACGACGAGCGATGTATCTTCAGATTCAGCGACTGTTGAGCTCAGTGTACAGATCTCAAATCAAGGGTCAGCAGCCGGCGGAGTTGAGGTCGCAACAGATGTACATGTTTTCAATCCCGAATCCCGCAAGTTAGGTGACAAGGTCGCTGAATTCTCGCGGTCTCCTGTCCCTCTCGAGCCTGGGGCCAGTCAGTCCACCAATGCTTCAATCACGATACAGAGTCCTAGGCTATGGAGTCCGGAGGATCCAAATCTTTACGCCGCCGTTACGCATGTATACTCCAACGGGACCGAGGTCGACACCTACGAAACTTTGTTTGGAATCCGCGCCATTACTTACGATCCCGATCAAGGTCTATTGGTCAACGGTAGAAACATTAAAATCCAAGGTGTAAATCAACACCACGATCTTGGTGCCTTAGGAGCCGCCTTCAACGTCAGGGCAGCCGAGAGGCAGCTTGAGATCATGCAAGAAATGGGTGTTAATGCTATCCGTTTCTCCCACAACCCTCCAGCACCGGAGCTGCTGGACTTGACAGATCGCATGGGATTTCTCGTCATGGATGAGATATTTGACTCTTGGCAGCTCAACAAGACTGATAACGACTTCCACCTGATTTTCGACGACTGGCATGAAGCGGATCTGCGGTCCATGGCTCGTCGCGATCGCAACCATCCGTCTATCTTCACGTGGAGCTACGGTAATGAAGTCGGCGAACAGTATACTAATGAGACTGGCGCTGAGTTGTCCGCACGACTTCGTGATATTCTCCGCGAGGAGGATCCAACTCGCCTCTCCTCGGCTAGCCAAAACTATGCGACTCCAGACCTTCCATGGAGTGAAGTCGTAGACTTATTCTACCTGAACTACCAGGGCGCTGGAATCAGGGACACAGTGGCCTATGGCAATATGTCTGGTATTCACACGGCCCCCTTGTACCCAGTGTACCACGCCAAATTCCCCGAGAAGATGATTCTGAGTTCCGAGACTGCCTCCACTCTGAGCACAAGGGGCACGTACATCTTTCCAGTCACGGCCTATAATTCCGCCCCAATCAATGACACATCCGGCGGCGACTCTGTTGGACGGAAAGTCAGCGACTACGGGCTTTACACAGCAAACTTCGGGTCATCCCCAGACAAGGTTTTTGCCGCTCAAGACGCCAATCCTTTCGTTGCTGGAGAATTCGTCTGGACCGGTTTCGACTACATCGGCGAGCCCACGCCGTACTACACAACCCGTAGCTCCTACAGCGGTATCGTGGATCTTGCTGGATTCAAGAAGGATCGATTCTACCAGTACCAGGCACGATGGAGACCTGACTTGCGGACTACGCACATCTTGCCTCATTGGTCCTGGCCGGATAGAGTTGGTCTTGTAACGCCGGTGCACGTCTTCTCAGAGGCAGACAGTGCTGAGCTGTTCCTAAACGGAGAGTCACAGGGCAGAAAAACCCGGGCAGACGGCGAGTATCGCTTCCGCTGGGATGAGACTGTCTATCAGCCAGGTGAAGTGAGCGTCGTGACGTACAAGGGAGATGATTTCTGGGCCAACGCGACCGTTCACACGGCAGGAGAAGCTGCTGGGCTTACGTTGAGCGCTGATCGCACTGAGATTGAAGCTGACGGGCTTGACTTGTCCTTCGTCACGGCTACTGTTGTGGATAGCAGCGGTGATGTCGTTCCGTATGCCAATAGTTCCATCAGCTTCAAGGTTGAGGGACCCGGCGAGATCGTCGCGACAGACAACGGTGATCCGGCGGATTTCACCCCGTTCCCTTCCCTCGAGCGCAAGGCATACAGTGGCCTTGCCCTGGCTATTGTACGTTCCACGGGCCCAGGAACAATCACAATCACAGCTGTCAGTGAAGGGTTGACGAGTGGCGAGGGATCGATCGAGGCCAAGTAATGTAGATAAAAATTAGACTAGGCCAATTTTAGAACCTCACTGCCTTTGCATATTAGTCTTTGCAGATGTGCTTATTAAGTTTGCTTTGGAACTAGCAAATCCCCATACTGAAATGTTTTAGGTCACTGCTTTTGGCAGTCCACTGGTGTCCAAATGAGTGGAGTTCAAGGTCGTCTATGCCAAAAGCTTGATGAAGTAAGCGTTGTGCTAAGGATATGTGAGAGAAAGAGCCTGCTAACTTGGAGCGCCTGTCAAATCTTGAATGGGATTTACAATTTCTTGTGAGCAGCCGACGCAGTAAAGTTGGTCTTCCTCGTCAGACAGTCTTGGTCTTGTGGTCTTCAAGTCTGGAAATGATGACAAGCAGAAACTGCGCATGCTCAGCAAGGGAAACAAAGGAGCAAGAGAATTTAAGAAAGATGATGTGCTTGGGTTGTCACAATTCTTGAGGGACGATCGCTTTCGATGCTTCGAACTGAGGAGCTGTCCTTTCCACCACATAACAGCCCGACATATGAATTCATTCACTTGTTTGCAGAGTTGGCCCCACTCACAAGGTTGGCTAAGCGCAAGGCTGACCAACTTCACTCGCAGCAAACCACGGGCTACATCTAGGTTCATAAGCAATTTCATCCCAACAGTTTCAACAATTCGGAGGTCACTTGGTGTAACGGTCAGCATGGTTGCTTCGTCAGGCGATTACACCGAAGGCAAGGTACACCAATCCCGATTCTATGACAACTAATTTCGATTCTAACGCCAACCAACTTTGATTCTTCGACAACTGGCCGGGTGAGTCTTCGCTATGACGGGCAGCACGGAGCCAGTTCGACTCTGGCAGTGACCTTCTTTTTTTGCCTCTTTTATTTTTTTCCTCCTGGTTCTGTTTTCGAAACACCCCGCCCAGCTCTTCGACACCTACCTTCCTCGCATTTTCGACTCAAACTGTAGATGCTAGCTACATTGCACTGTCGTAAAGCACCAAACGATAGTAGCCGTTTGCCTATCCTTGATTCACCCGATTTATTGCGCCGTCTTGATGATCAAGCAGTCACCTTAGGTTCTCTGAGTTTCTGTCAAAAGAATGCCACTCGATAGCCTTTACGACAACTTTTCTAGCCTGTACCCTGCCTCACAAAATATGTCAGTCGATTTTGTTCCATCTCTTCCCGATTTACATATCCCTGCATGTAGGTCGTCCACTTTGCAAGACAACCTAGTAATGGCATGTCTCTGCCATCCTTGAAGGGAATCGGTGGGCAGTGTACAAGTTCTGTCAAAGACTTCCAACCCGACAGTCTCCCTCTACATGTCATGAAACCTTTACGGACCCCTTCAAATGTGAGGTGGGATGCTTAATCTTTCCATCGTTGTGTGTTCATGAGCTGCAAGCCAGAGGCTATCTGCTGGGAGGGTCGTGTTGACGTCGATTTGGTAAACAGGTCAAAGAATTTCGAACCAAGAAACGTTTCCCTCGACTGGATGGAAGGATGTTTGATTTTTGAATAAGAATAAGTGTGGCTTATCGGAGAGCCGACGGTCTTGGATTTAATAAGCTTGTCGGCTGCTATTTTTGGACATGCATAAGCAATTGTCAGTTTTGTCACTCTGTCAAGAACTTCGAGTCAGTATAGGGGGTCATCTGGGAATTTAGGCTCTTGCAGATAGGTCAGATATGCGTTGTGAGCTCCGCCTCAACAATCATAGCAGCTCAGGCTGCTTATCTTGCAAGGCAAATGGGCGATTTGATTTGGACTCGGGCGAGGAGGAGTTTGGTCAACTGAAATCAAGCCAAACTTGTTGCAGAGCCGAAGCTTATCGCCCTGTCTCGTGAATCAAGCGGCCAACATTATTAATTGAGATATGGAAAATAATCTTCGGTATCGACAGAGGGGATAGCAAAGGCTGCAAACTTCAGCACCATTGCTACGGATATAAGAAACACGATGGGTAAGCCTCAGAACAAATTGGTAGGAATACTGCGTGGGTTTAAGCGAAAAAAGTTTGCATCCGTTCATTCTACAAACAATATGGAAACTGGTGACTTTGGGCTGGGCGTTGCCTTGGTGATTGTTATCAGTGAATTTTATAGCACAAACGAGCAACTTCAAGATGTCCCAAACAAGGTAGGCGATGCCTTTTTCTTGTTCCTTTTTTTAAAAGAAACCTGCAGTTTCGAAAAGTGTCACAGAACCAGAATCAATGAGTTGGTCTGCGGTCGTGTACATTGCAGAATCTTATGGGTGGCCGCTGATGTCGTCGAGAGTGGGACTGGTGGTGTTACTTGATTGGCTATAACGGATTTGCCCCCACCAAGCAGTACAGACACCCACGTTTACCCACGGCGCGTTACTTCTATCACTGCCCCGCAAACATGTCTGGCAAATACAACGTTATCAGCATGCCGATGTTTATCAAAGAAGATCGATAGCGTGCCCCTCAAACATTATGCTCAGAATAGTGATATTTCAAGAAGAAATCATTAGATTTGAAGCACCGTTATGTAGTGGGACATTAATCCACTGTTTGCACCCACCCCAAGGGACCTAGGGGTTGGGCCCGGGGTGCGGCGAGCGCAGCCTCACTTAGCAGGCCTCCGCCGTTTGTTCAGAACACAGCGCGCCTTATTATAGGATTACGTTCCGTGGAATCTTCTGTGGGATAACCTTCTGCGGCACAGCTTTCCTGCAAGATAAGCTCGCCGTCGAGTATACCAGTGCTGACTGAGCTTGTGCAGAGGGGATGTGGAAGCACATCCAGGCATTTTGGGCGAGAGGATCCTATTAATTTCATGTTGCCTTTCACATGCATTGCACTTGGTCCATGTGAAGGCTACCAGGATAGACTGCTCATTATTTACAATAGAATGGCCCGCTGCCGAGAGAAATGCTCGTAGGCATTGAACAACTTGTTCAACAGCTGCTCCATTAGGATTGACATGTCCCACGGAAGGCCTTCAGTACCCCAAATCTATCTACCACCGGAGAACCCCGATAGACGAACATACAAGCCAGAGAAGGCTCTACAGGCCCGTGAGCTTGCGTTCGACCCAGTGCCACACAGTCTTCAAGCGGCCCTGGCGTGGCGCTTCAATGACCTCGGGCTCATCGCCCATCTCGCTTTCCTCCCTGATATGTGACTCGTAGCCTTCACCTAGAGCTCGCGTCTCAGCTATGTGCGCATTTTTCTTCTTTTGTAGGTCGATTGCTGCCAGTAGATCTTCCTTTTCACTGTCCGGGAGCTCCAGAGCGGCAGCCTGGATGATAGCGAATGGATTAGGGTTCCTCGAGTAGCCTAGCGGGTTGTCCTCCTTTGGATCCTCTGGTAGAGTCAAGCCAACGGTTTGCCACTTCTTGTTCGCCTCTTTCTGCTGACGAATCGCGTGGCGCATGTCTGAGCGCTGATGCGACGGAAGACACGTGACTGTGCCAGCAATGATGCTGAAGAAACGAGAAGAAACGGCAGCTCGGTGCAAGATGTGTGAAGCGACGGGCTCGGCGGCGGATAGATTCGGCGTCGGTGGTGGGGCTGGGGGTGCAATTGGAGAGGATGGAAGCGCGTCGGGAATGTTAGCCTTCGATTTGACATCCTCTAAGACAATGTAGGTGTCCGGCACCAAGGAGATGGCTTTGTCAGTCATGTTAGAGCTTTCTTGAAGCAAATGAGACGATGGGCTTGTAGGAGGCGTTGGGGAGGGAGGGTCGCGTTGTCGGCGAAGCGCAGACTCTATGGCACTGTGAGGGAGGCGCTTGAAGAGGTCCAGGGCTTTGGACGGGGTTCTGCCGCCTGAGTCTCTGACTTTCTTGGACAGATGATCAGCTGTCTTGTGCGGCTCGACACATTCTCCGGGGCACCAGCGAAACTTGAGAGACACGACCGACCTCAAGTCCTGCAGGTCGCGAGCCTTGAGCTCGATGATGTGAAGAATGTGTTCCATTTTCCTCGCGAGGACTGCGTATCGTCTTGGGGTTTCCAAACTGCCCAACACCCGTTTGGAGTCTGACCAAAAGATGATCTCAAACTTGTCAGTGGAGACTATGAGGTTCTGGGTCATGAGGCTGAAGATCTGGTCGACTGCGACGTAGGCTCCCTCGGCCAGTGCGAATGCCTCTATGCGGTGGTTGCCCCCAGGAGGACAGAATGGTATGAAGCAAGCCTTCGATGTGCGTCGTTTTGCGTGTTCTCGTGGGAGCCAGATGTTGACAACAATGCCAATACCTGCTCGGGACTTGCGTCCCCGCTTGAACGACCCATCGCAAAACACGTGAAGCTCAACGGTGTTGGTCTGAGATGGCTTTCTCTCGGTCGTACGGGCGAGGTTGACGGCGGCTCGTCTTGGCAGGATTTCGATGTCGAGAGGCATCTTTCATGTTGTCGTGATCATGACGCAATGTAAGGTGCCAGGAAGAGTCAGGATAGTAAGGTGGAGGGTGGTAGGATCGACAAAGGTAGGAGGAAGGGCTGTGGTAAGGTCGATGGTCCGGTCGCGATTGGCCTTGAGGATATCGTAGCCTCTGCGACTTGAACCAAACAATTTCTCTTGGTAAGGAAGTAGTTGCTTCCGGCCTTGCTTAGTGAAATCCAGATTCTTGGGTGGTATCGATTTTCGTTTGCCTTGTTGGTCAGGGCTAGCCCGGGGGGGGGGGGATTCAAAATGTGTACATGTGAGATTCAGTCAAGAAAGCATTATGATTGGAGATTTGTATTGATTGGTTCAATGTAAAAGGGACGAGATCCTCTTCCTTGCACACTAAGGGCCCGTTTGCAGGTTTAGCGGGGTGCGACACCATGGGTGCAGAGTTGAAGACGAGATGAGAAGGGATAATTAGGGGACACATTCTCTCAGGACAAAACAGCTTTCCGTCGACCATGTAACTGGGCTTTCAATGCTGCGATACCTATGGCTTATGATTGCTCTACTATATGACCACATGATGGAGAGCCAGTTGCTGGAAAACTTACAATCCACTCCTGAGTGAAACCCCAGGTCTCACGAACTGCCTGAACGTTTACCCACCTACCACCCCACCACCTACCAATCGTGATAATTTACTACGACAACTGGACTGAAGGAGTTTTAAGCGATGACAGGGACTCTTCCTCATGTGATGGAGCATTGGGACTTGCAACGAACGCCTCTCTAAATTTGAATCACGTCAAGTGACAGGAAATCCGTTTGTTTTCCTTTGCATGGTCAACTACCCAGAAGCTTGACATTCAAAAGACGCAAATGAGCTCGTGGTCGTCACTGCATGTTGCTGTGGCAAGAGCAAAAGATGCGCAAGTGGGAAGGAAGGCCGGGTAGGTTGTATGAGGGATCCTGGCGAAAAAAGGGGAAAAAGAAAGACCACTGCCAGAGTCGAACTGGCTCCTTGCAAAGGCTGTCGAATAGCCGTCCAGCAGATTGTCGTATAATCGGGATTGGTGTAGATCCGCCTTCAGGGTAAACGACTTACCAGGAAGCAGTGCTGACCGTTACACCAAGTGGCCTTTGGATGTTGGGAATGTTGGGATGAATTGTCTTATAAATCTAGGTGTGTGGCCTAGCCTGTCAAATTCGCACAGGGAGTGAATGAGACTGCTCGGCGTGATGACGGTGACGGTGAAAAAGCTTCAAGACGGCGTACGAATTTAGTCAAACATTCATAACTCCCGTCACCAGAATGCTGTTTGGGGCAGTTTGGTACATGGTGTAAAGATAGCATTATTGCCACTACCTAGCTGGAGTCCGCCAGGATAGTAATGTTCTAGAGGCATCATCGCTTCACTTACGAATAGGTGCGTTCTAGCGATGGAGTCCAGGGAAGCCGCCAGAAAATCATACAAGTCAGCATCTAGTTCCTCCAATGACAGCTGCGCTTTGCATGTCCAGGCGCGCAGCATCTCCACCATGCCGGTGCTCTTGCTACATTCGACGCCCGTCGTGGTCCCCCTTCTGGCTCGCTGAGCCAATCAAGGTCAAAAAGAAGATTTGTAACGAAGCAAGAAGATTTCCATACGTATATGGATGTAAGATAGAGCAAAGTGGATCAATATTTTCATGAATAGACCAGCAGAGCAGATGCAATATAAAAAAAAGGAATGGACAGGAAGTACCAGGATTTGAACCTAGACCGTAGTGCCTCTGCGGCCAGTGGGTCAACTCACTCAGACGTCGACTCTGTCCAAGAAAGAAGTCACTTGCAAAGGCACCCATGCTTAACCACTACACCATACTCCCTTCAATTTTATTGGAAATGCATGCAATCGGACTCTCATAAAGCTGAAATGTAAATGAATATTCTCGAGTTGTTGAGACGTTTGCTTAACGGATGCTGCTCAGTGGACCAAGCTTCCAAACACGTGCAGCCTTCACTTGTTCCGACCTGGCCTAAGGCTACAATTGGTCGAATGTTTGGCACGTAATGGGATCGAGCAAAGCCAAAGGTGCATAGAAAGTTCGCAGTTGAGCCATTGGTCCAACTCCACGCCGTCCACTAAGGCCAAGCTTTACATCTTGAAACCCCCCCCCCCCCTTCATGGCTAGCAGAAAAAAAGCCAAACGATGAATGATGACCAAGATGGAGACGAGTGAGGTTGTCAGTGACATTCTCTAGCCAAACCACCATTTGAGAACACTTGCCAAGTTGGCTTGATTCCTCTCTATCTCGTCATCATTTCTGGCAACCCAAGCCACTCGGAAGTCAGGCCGGACAAGCAGAGCATTGACAGACTTCCACTTCTCCCCAGAGGTTGTCACCGGTACCTCGAGTACATTGACTCGATCATTAAGCCTAGCTTGACTGACAGTGTCCTTGAATTTTCCAAAATTTACGGGCTTGCAACCTGATCCACCGATAGCAGCAAGGACGAAGATTCCTTTTTTCATGGCCTCGAGAAGGACATCCTCGTTCCCATCCGCGATATGTGTGAGTCGCGTTCCAACAATGCTGTCCGTCGTTCCTTTGCTTGCAAATGCAAGCTGATACGGCTCGACCGGGTCCCCAAATCCTGTGAACCGCTGAGCCCACCTCTTATTCAGAGATGGCTCATGAAGCGCCTCAGTTATGAATTCAGAAACCGCCCTTTCATCTTCTGTATATTCAAAGAGGACCTGCATTTGCATTCGCACATTCTGAGCCACAGCCTCGGCTGAAGTTTGGCGCTCTATAGTGTAGCTATCCAGGACTCGCTCAATGACTTCGTGGTTTGCCCCAAGCTTTCCAGTAATTACCGCTCCAAGCTTCCAGGCGAGGTTGGTTGCATCAACGAGGCCCGTGTTCATTCCCTGGCCCCCAGACGGGAAGAGTTGATGGGCGGCATCGCCTGAAAGAAACACGCGCCCAGCCCGAAAGCTGCCTGCGATTCGCATTCCGTTTCCAACGACGGATGACCATGTCATGCCATGGAAGTTGTAATGACTGCCAAAAACCTTCACTGCCCAATCACGGACCTCGTTTTCGTTTGGGGCAGTGGGTCGCTCGTCAGGAGACTTGGCGATCAGAGGAGCATTTCCGATGAGCCGGCGACCGGTCGGCCCATCGCCCGATGCTATGACCAGGGATTTGCCTTCTTTATCCCGCACAGTGAGCATGACTGGTGCGTCTGTATCGCAATGGCCATCGGCGAGCCAGGTGTAGCGTGTCGCCGTGGTACCCTCAAACGAAATTCCGGCTGCTTCGCGGACGGCGCTGTGAGTGCTGTCGCATCCTATCAACCATGTCGCTTCTATGGTCTCTCCTTCTTTGTCTTCTGTATCTGCAAGCCGATCTATCTTTTGAAATGTGGCCAAGACATGTGTTTCGTTCTGGCTGAAAGTAGAGAACCGCCGACTCCAGGAGAATCGTATCCCAACCTCTTCGCACCGCTGTAGCAGTATGCCTTCCGTTCGGAGCTGCGGGATACCCATATTGAACGGATACTTGGTGCCGATGGCATCATAGTTCAGGTCAAGAAGCCTGGTCCCGCCGCCAAAGTGATTAGTATACAGCGGTCTGCCAACTCCAATGAAGCGGTCGGCGATTCCTAGGATGCGGAAGACCTCAAGGCTGCTTGCGCTCATGCTGATCGCCTTGGACCATGTTCTTGAAGGATCTTGAGCTGGCCTTTGGTCAACGACAAGGATGTCTCGAGGCGGAACGCCGCTTTGGTGGAGGCCGAGGGCTGTTGTGAGGCCTACGGGACCTGCGCCCACGATGAGTACGGTTGGCGATGACATGATCTCGCTCACATGAAGGACTCTGTATCAATAATGGTGCGTGGTACTGGACGGTTTCTGCCGGGCCAGAACAGCAGTCAATTCGGTCAAGTGAGGTGATTTTCGTGGAACTTCGTGGTATTTAACGACCCCCTCCTTTGCTTCGAAGAACTCATCGGCAGAATATAGTTACAGTTCCGCGAACCAGATGACTGCATCGGCACTAAGACCTGGTGGGACCATACCGCCGGAGCCATGGTGGACCCATCAGCAACTCGGCGAGCAACATGTCCGTCCGGGACGACGCGAAAGTTCCGAAAATTCCACAATGCTTACCCTCATCAAAGCATCCTTTGAGGGGCGGCCGTGTATGCTTTTACCCAGAAAGTAAAAGCAATGCTGGTTATGAGCTGCCACTTCTTGACTGTGTCCATAGGTGGCTCAATGATCCTGGAACCCTGCGAGGTATAATGGTGCACCGCCTAGCATCGAATTTGAGTTTGCGCGTCATGTTCGATATCTGCAATCAGTTTCAACGGGCCGAAACCGAGACCTCGGATAAATGCTGACCACCTAGAAATATCTGGTTAGTCAAATGCACGCCGTCGCGTAGTTGGCATTTCGATTGTGCAGTAGTGCAAAATCCTCCCGCAATCATTGAACTGTTGGTGTCTTACATGCATGCGGTCCGCCCGAACATCATTGCTCTGTCACATCTCGACTAGCCAAAGATCGATTGGTGCGAGATTCAAATTGGACTGGCAATGTTAATCACACGACATTCTTGTAGGGATAAGTGTACCCAATAGATTTGATTTGAAATCCTGAATCACGATCAATTGTTAAGACACGTGTGGATTGAATGACCTTTTGTAAGATGTTGCTGCTGATAGCATAGGTTGTGCTATTGTTTCGATTCTCTCAAGTCATAATCTCTTACAAGACAAGTAGCAGGCGAATGGATTCAGATCATCCTTCTTATTCAGCTTGGCTCTCATGACGACAAAGACAGTGTGAAATCTGTCTTCCAAATTCCAGCCTTGGTTGCTTCGTTGAGATTGGTGAGGTAAAGATTGCTAGCATCACTTGAGCAATTTAGCACATCACCCACGGAGCCCAGATTTTTATTTCCAAGCTTCATCTTCGCCGACCCGAGTGAGTTCTGCAGTCCGACGACCGTAATGTTGGCAATAGGAAGATGATCATTATACGATCCGGATACCTTGGCCTTGAGCGTGTTCTTGGTAAATCTGAGCTGTACGAAAGTAAGGTCATGGACTGAGAAAGAACTGAGCCGCGATAAACCTTACCTTGATGTTCTTCGTCGCCTTTTGGACGTAACTGATGCCATCATCCAAGTAGAGCTCACCCTCGGCATTTCGGTCCTTATCTAAAGCGACGATTAAGCTCCATGGACTTTTGCGCGATGTCTTGGTCGTGTTCCCGGCTTTCTGGATGGGAATGATATATCCTCCGCGAATGTGGATGGGCTGATGCACCAGCGGAGCATCGAGCGTCTTGTTCTCACCCGGTTGGGCGTCAACCTCTTCAAGAGTGTACCAGTCATACCACCTTGTGCCATCCTCAACACCTGGGAAGACGCCCTTCACAGTGGTCGCAAGTGGTTCCAGGACGGGTGTCACCAATAATGCTGGCCCGGACATAAACTGGGTCTCCACACCCTTCAAGGACTCGTCGTTCGGAAACTCCCACGCCAAAGCACGCAACACCGTCTCGCCCGCCTTGTTGGCCTTGTGGAAAAGCGTGTAAGTATATGGAAGCAGAGAGTAGCGAATGTTCATAATCCTCCTCGTCGCTTCAGCTGTAGTCGCCCAGCGATAAGCTTCTTGCGCGATTGTGTTCCTATTGTTATGGTTTCGGTACAGTGGGAACCATGCCGAGAGCTGCATCCATCTTGTGCAGAGTTCGAGATCCGCGTTATAGTTGAATCCACATGTTTCGACGCCGAAATATGGTATGCCGACAATGGAGAATTGCAAGGCTTGCGAAATGCCGAAGTACATGTTACCCCACCTTGAGTTAGTATCTCCTCCCCAGTGCCCAGCAAAAGAACCCGAACCGGCGAAAGTACTCCGTGATATGAAGAAGGGCCTCTTGTTGTCGTAAGTTTCGAGTAATGCGTGGTATGTTGCATTGCCACTCAGATGCCCGTAGAGATTATGCAATTCGTACTCCGTGCTGTTGTGAGGTCCGTCGTTATGAGTCGCATCTGGAGAGATGACCTGTTTAACCAGAGAATGGCCGGGAAGAAAGTTGTTGATGGCGTATGGAGGGAACGTGAGATTCCGGACTCCAGGCGTTGGCAATGTCCGTCCCAAAACAGGAGTCGGTGTCACTGTTGGGGTGGAATAGGCCTGTGATTGAGATGCTAGAGCGGCGCTGGCTGAGGCTGCTTCGCTTGCGTTGGTGACCTCAAACTTTTCTGGATAGTTGTATACCACAGCGACCCTTGTGTCCGGATCGCCTGGCAGAGCGAACGGAACATGAATTGGGTTCTGAGGGATAAAGCTGCCAATGCTGCCAGTGGCAAATGAGACAGGGTCGCTCACGTCAAGCCAAAAGCCATCGAAGTCCAGCTTTTCGTGGAACTTTTTGATCTGCTCCGTCCAAAACTGCTGAGACTGAGGGACTGATGGCAAAAAGTCGGGCCATACACTCAATCCAGGCCATTCGACACCAACATAGAAGTTTTCATCGTAGCCGTTTCGGATGTAGGCGTTCAAATCTGCCCCCCTATCATATGGCGGATATGCATCACTGACATTGTTTGGATTTGGTATGTATACATTGGGGTCGAGGATTGGCATGTAGTATTGACCATTGGCATGAAGCCTGTCGAGGAACTCTTTTCCAGGGCCGATGTCATAATGCCCCGGGTTATCCGTGAATATTCGATTCACCTCAAGATAGTCTGCCAAATTTTTAGCAAACTCTACATAATGTCAGAGGCTGGGACTATTACCTAGATCGTTCATTATTCCCTCAAGTTGAATGTTCTCGGCGGCGTACGCATCGATAACCTCTTGCAAATTAGTCCAATTTTGGTACGACCATCGCACTTGGTGAAAACCCAAAGCCCAATAGGGCTGCTCGACGGGCGTTCCGACTATGCCAGTCTGGTACTGGGATATGACGTCTTTTGCACTTGGCCCGTTAATAAAATAGAAATCGAAGCTCCCTCCTATTGTGCGATAAATGACCTTTTGGTCCCGGAGCAGCCACTCCTGCCCATGTGCGTTCCTTGCGTAGACACCGTGTGATGTGGAAGTCCCACTTTTATACCTGGTCTCTAAATACATCGGATGCACACTATGAGCATTGACATCTAGGACCTGGTCGTTATCGAGACTATATGCGTTCCACATCGTTATAGTGTAATTGTTGGGTAGACGAAAACCTCTGAGCGTTTCAGCCAGACCGTAGATATTGTAGTCGGGTATCATGGATGTTCTTAATTCCAGGAATTGGTCTTCGAATACTATCTTGCTGCTATAAGTGTCAAACAGTACCTCATCTGAGTTGGCCCTCGAGACACGGAATTGAAATGTTGGTTCATTGGTCCAAGTGAAGTTGAGTTTGGCTTTGTCCTTGGTGAAACCCTTTTGGGTGCTAGGGTACGGTGTGAGCGCTGGGTCAAGTATGTATATAGACCTGTTCGCTGGTCCTAGGTACTTTGGTGTGATTCGAACTGCAAGACGCTCTTTGTCCTGGTACTCCACGGACAACCGCAGGTCATGAACCTCATTGCCATAAACATTGCATGCTGGGCCGGCAAGAGTCAAATCTGCTGTCAAGCCGAAATCACTCTCTTTGGCGTTAGAGGCAACATAGCCGGGGCACTCCTCTTGGGCGTCAGGTGCGGTCGGATCGAGCACATTAGGGGTCACCTCGGGAGCGTAGTTCACGGATGATGGGAGAATTGGTCGCGCTGGGGTGACAGGGAACGGAGGAGGATATTGAGGCTGCTGCGCTGCAAGCCGTGTGAGCCACATCTTGTAATTTCACATGTCGGCTTGACTAACCTGTAGCCCGCAATATCAGGCTCAGTATGCCTGTCTGCATCAGAAGGCCTGGCATCTTGCATTAAGTCGGTTGAGGCGGGCGGATTCTTCCTGCATCATCCGTACAGACGAGATTACACTGCTTTTAATATTCTTATATCTGAACCTTTGTCAACCATCAGAGATCAGCAGCAGCATTGATCCTCTCGGTTCACAGGCCGACGTCATCACGACTAAGGTTTCTTTCCGAAATAGTTCGGTGAACCAAGTACTCTTTGGAGATGGTCGTTCTCTACGTTGCATTCTGACTTCACAAACGTGAACCGAAGGACGCGTTCGTGGGACCGGCTTTGGTTTAGTGTACAGTTAGTTCAGAAGGGGCCTGGCTACCTTGATTACGTACTAGTAGCGGCACTATCCCCACAATAATCGGTGCCTTCTCTTCGCAGCTCCACACGTCATTCATTCACGACATGCCCAATGCGGAAATCCGGGGTGGTGGGAGTAGTGCCCGTCTTGATCGTCGGCTTCCCGTCGGGCATAGACCTTGACAGATTCTCGACTTGAGCTCTCGATATGCATGATAATTTGTAATTCTTTAGAAGATTGCTCACCTGAGCTGTCGGAGCGTACATAAGTCTAGAGTCTTGGCACCAGCTGAGTGGGATCTACCAAGGGAGCTCGGTGACAAACAAAATAACGCTTGTCAACATCTCCGCGGGATTTGTCTCAATGAAGCGGTTGGATGTGGCCTGTGATCGTACGGCTTTCCCCCCCTCTCATTGAACATCTTTTTCAATCACGCTCTTTCTAGAGACTGATTCCTAACTTTCTTGTCGCCTGACCAGGTGGGTGAGAGTTTGCAAGTACCAGGGTCACGCATAGTTAGCATTAGGAGGCAAATTGGAGATCCAACATGAATATATTAAGACGCTGCATCGATCTACCACACTAAAAGTTTCGCTCAAAATGTTGTCAAGAATGAATTGGTAACGATCTCAAATAGACAGAAAGAAAAGAAGGAGAGGAACAAAAGAAGTAGGAGAACATTCCTTTAACCAGAGATACGTGTTATTCATCATGCCTGAAACCGTCTGTAACGAGTGATCGGCCTTGCGTCTTTGCCCGTCTCACTTCTGACAGATGTTTGCGCATCACCAGCTGTACTAGCAGCCTGCCCCTTCCAGTAATTGTCCAGAGCGTCGTTGACGTCTGCCACATGGCTGTACGGGTCTTCTTCAGCTAGCGTTTTCACCGCTGCGGCAATGGCTTCATCGCTGAATAAGCCAGTTCTGGCTTGAAAGTCTCCCGTACCGAATGCTTTTGCCCTGAACTCGGACTCCATCGGGTCCAAGAATGTCGTGGTGTCGTTGTAACCCCAGTCAGTAAGCGCGGTGACGTTGAATGCAGCCATCATGTCATTATCCTCGTGGATCAAGTTGTGGCAATGGAACATGTAGACTCCGTCCCAGGGCGCATAGTGTGCTTCTACTATCGCAGTCTCTCCCCTACCAAGCCAGACCACATCTTTGAGCCCAGCCGCCTCATACGGCATTACAGCTCGGTTGCCGTCCGTCCTTGCAAGGACGCGAAAGTCGACAAGATGAACATGGATGGGATGTGACCAGCCGTCGCTGGAGTTCTCGAGCTCCCAGATCTCTGTTGTGCCTCTCGGAACTTTTGCCAGAACCCGATTCTCAACGTCCGCAAAAACAACGTTGTTGATCTGCCATTCACCGTTTGATCGGTGGAAGCGGAAATGATGATTGATTGTGTTCGGTGTGTCTGTAACGGGAAATGGGATTGATGGGCGGAGCGAGTCCGGCACAGACGAGGTATCTTCAACTGGTGTGGATGACACTATAAAGCGCATAACCTTGTCTGTGTTGAGATAGTCGTCATCCGTTCCGATCCCTCCTGCCTTTGGGAGGTTTCGCAACTCAACAGCTTGACCGGCGTAGGCTGAGAAGTCAAAGACGATCTCGTAGCGTTCAGCCATTGAGATGTACTAATTTCAAGGTTAAAATTTGTACAGTGTGGCGCAATAGCCGGAGCGTTTGACTTACCAGATCAGAAACTTGAACTGGACTACCGAGCAGGCCGGCGTCACTGGCAATTACCTGGAATGGCAGTTTGCCATTGGTGTTTGAGCTCAGGGCAAAGTATAGAGCAAAAGACCTGGAAATAGCTGCGTCCAGAAACCTGAAACGGTATTTCCGCGGCTCGACATTCAGGAATGGCCATGGCTGCCCGTTCACGTGGATGATATCGCCCCAAAGACTATCTGTTTCCCCGACAGTAGAGAATAATGTGCCATCGGAGTTGTACTGTTTGGCTGATAGAATGAGTGGGATGTCATATTTGCCATATCCTGAAGGCAGATTCAGTGCATCCTCGGCAGGGTCAGTGAGGATGTAAGCGCCAGCTTGGCCGAAATAAGCATTTTCGGCAGTCTGTTCAAAGCAAGTCAGCGACGAGTCTTGAAACCAAATCAACAATGCCCCTAATGATGCACTCACAGCGTGAACTGCGTGATCATGGTACCACAGCAGTCTCGCATTCTGTTGGTTGGGGTAATAGTAATCTTTGAATTCTCCGGGGGCCGTTACATCCTCTGCCCAGCCGTCGAAAGGCGCCCGGGAGTAGGATCCATGTAAATGGACTGAGTTAGGGGTTGCAGCATTGTTGATGAATCTGACAACAGACTCTGTTCCACGAGGAATCATGAACGTCGGCCCCGGAGACATTCCGTCATATCCGACCAGATTTGCGAGACGCAAATTTGGGTACACAGATTGGGTGAACGGCTTTATCTCAATCTCATAGTATTGGATATCGTTGCCCGAGACGGGGTTGGTAAATGTCCTTGAAGGTAGAACATTGTCAGCAAGGCTATCATCATGTCTTTGAGAAACGTGGAGTCAACGTACTTTGTCGGCTGCTTGATCGGGGGAATGGGAAGGGCCACTTTGTAGATCAAAGGATACTCGGGGCTGAGCCAGTCTTTGGCTTGGATAGAGACAACGTCCTCAGGGATATCCTCAACAATACTCGCAAGTGCTGCTGCCTCCTCTGGAGGGATATCATAGACCCACTGAGTCTCCTGTGAGAGGACGGTGCCCGCAAAAAAAGACAGGCATGCAGCAAAGACTAGCAGACCCTCTGCAGACAACATGATCACAAAGATGGTGGCGGAACAAAAGTCAAAAGAGAAGTTTAGAGCATCAAGGAGTAAGAGCAAGGGGCTTTTAATAGATACGAAAGGATGATGGAGTCATACTTTAGTTCCACCTGATGGTCAGGGAGAACGCGAGGCTTTATAGACATGATGAGGCATTTCGGTCTGGCTGAGATGAAAGAACACTTCAGACTGAAATATCTCACCACTCCAGGCTCGGTCTCGAGTGTGACCCGCCGCATAGACTCTTTCCCGTCGTCCACGATGTCATGGTTGACTACTCCCCACCAACCATGAGTCACGGATCTATCTTGCAGCAATATTGTCTCTTTTGTGACCACCATTACGGTGACATCGCCAGAAAGATGAAAGCGTTATCTTTAGATCATTCCTTCCATGCGAGTGGTTAATAGTCTGTGTCACCTCCATCTGCAGCCGAGGTGATAGTGCTAAAGACCGTGGAGGTCGCGTACAGGATCAGCGGTCAGTATAATGAATTAGGAAAGCGAGACCGACGGACAAGATGATATAGGCCAGTGTCACAAATTCACGCGTTCAAGTGGGCCTCGGAGTTGGATGGAAGGTGGAGAGGAATAGTTGGTCGCCACGACGGCACTGACCAGTGTTCGTCCGAAGGCCAGAGCAAGCAATGGCCGTGAGTGGGGTGCCAGGCTATTTCGATAACGCAATGTTTGGAAGTAACGTAGAACAGGAGAATCGATCATGTTCCATGCCGACTTCGGCTGGGCGAGCTCAGGGCAGTAGAGTCATCGATAGGTCATTGAAAGATGGCTCCGTCGAGACATTGATAACACTCGAGCTCCTGTCATCTTATCCATATAGACAAGAACTGCCAAAGAGCAGAGTCTTAAATAGTCAGAATATGAAGTCTATTATTGCTGCTCAATGGACAGTTTCTTCTTTGGCTTTCTCCTTGGTATCTTCTCCCCTGCGTATGTCCCAGGCCAAACAAGTGATCTCGTCTCGAGTCGTTTTTTCTTGGGCGTCTTGGCCTTGGTCATAGAGTCTGTATTATTTACCTAGTACCTCTCTCGTTATACCGAAATGTCGTCGTCAGATATCATGTGCTCAGAAACCAGTACAATCCAAGCCGGGGCGGTTCCAGTAAGGGCAGAACCCAGACCGAGTTACATCCGGGAGCGGCTCCGGCGTCACCCTTGCAAGGACTGGCAAGGGAGCAGTCTATAGCAGCCGTGATCGCGTCCGAGCCAGCCCCGGATGTGACTATGGGCCCAGTGATGTCCAATATGCCGGCGGTCTTTATGGTGCTTCACCCACCGCCTGCGTTGCATCTTCCACACCCCCACACTATCATCAGAATTTTTGGCCCCCTCTTCCATTATGTCAACGGATAGTCATTTCGCCTACGTCTCGGGTCGAAACATTTGCTACTGAAGTCGTCCATAAATATCCTAGTCGCCCGTACCATGCAATACTCCTGAGGATGTGGACGGGTGGTTACACACATGCGGCTCGAGTCAAATCGGTCATTTTTCCCTGATTGCCAAGTGTCAACGCTCTTCATATGATTCATTCCCGTGGAATGTCTGGGAAAGGTGCCTGCAAGTAAGTGGTGCTGGTTGCCATGGGCCTAACCTTAATTCTACGACACGAGGTTAACGATCTCTTGGCGCGCGTGCAGCCGCTCCCAAGGTAATAGTGGCATCGTCAAAAGTTGCCCTTCCAAGAACGATCGATTCCGAATTCTCTCATACTCCTTAATCCTCGATCAGTATGTCGAGAAGCGAGGTTCTGTCTTTCCGATATTGGGTGTCATTGCAGTATGGAGGGGGCCATGAGGCGCGTTGCTACTATTGCGAGCCAGGATGGCTACATCAAGAAATAGGAAAATGACCCTCGTGATCTAAGAATGGTATTGCAATGCACGGGAATGGCATCATCTTTGCGACGAACTGCAAGTCTTGTTCAGGTTTAAGTTTCGGGAGCACGTTGTGCACACACACACACATATTTTCATTCCCGGCGCTAGATCAAGTCTTGACTCTTTGCATATTCTAAACCACTCATACGCAGCCTCTACTTGCCTCGTGTTGCTGATCACATCTTTACTAATCGGACGATCTTGCACATATTAGCAACTAGTTGTCATAATGCAAATGATAGTATTCCTGATGCGGACGTGGTGTGTATAATAGGCAACTCAACGGCCGCAGTCCGGATAGAGGCTGACTGGTCCACGCATGCGCGAGATGATTGGCAGAGGGTTTCCATTGTGCATCGTCTAAGTTGGCCCGCATATCTGAAAACAACTTTTCCTTTGTGGCCTCTTCCTCAACTCCTTTTCACGAGAACAGATCGCTCTAGGCCGCCTACGACGTTGCATACCTCACATGGGGTCTCGAGAAGTTTAACGCAGCAAGCACTTGACCGGTCCACTATTTCGTCACCGAGTCGCTTTACAATGTTATCTGTCGTGGGGCAGTTGCCCGGACATAAGATACTTCTAGATCCTACCCGGCGAAACGCCCTTAGCACCATGCGGAAATTCTAAGCGAGCCAAGATCCGCCAAGGCTGGGGGCAACAGTGCTTGGCCTGCAGCGTAGTCAGGGCTTCACCCACAAAATAGCAAGGCCTGCATTTTGGGTAGCCTTCGCTCTCGGGACGCCTGATATGGTCCAATTGTGAACGATCCTGCATGCCCAATGGAGCACCCACGAAAGTCATCAACATCGGAGCGGACATATGCGCGGCCGGGTGCCAAGCAACGACCCAGGGGCAAATTTCTCAATTCGTGATAACATCCTGATTCGGGGTTTGGAGAGACCCGGATTACGAATCCTGACCAACGACTGAGCGGAAATTTGCAACGGTCTCATGACCATGGCCCAGTCTGTGATGCTACGGAGTAGAGGGGCAAACGACAAACGACGACAGGGCGAGGCTTGGCTCCTCAAAAGAAAAATGGCTCATCCAGGTCCAATGCAAGGGGAATCAATAGTTCGATAGTCAAGCTGCCCAGCTGCGAGGGATGCACTATCGCCTGCGAGTGTCGAAAAATAGGTGTTCGAGGGCATGTACATCGTTTGGTGCGGAAGGCCAGAACATGATAAAGATGGCTTGAGAAGCTTGTTGACAATGAGGATTGAACTCCTTCGTTCACCTCAGCGCCGACTTGCCTGCGCAACATTCTTTTCTACCTCTATCACTTTCAAAAGAGAGCATTTACTGGTCACCGGTGAATCCTACAGTATAAATCCACTCCTATCCATATTCAAAGCACAAAGATGTTTCATTACTTGCCCATGATTTTGACGGCTTTCAGCCTCTTCACTCAGCTGTCACTTGTGCACGCCCAAGATGCACCGTTATGGGTCCAAGGCTCGTTTGAGGACGGTTCCGTCGCAGACGAGACGTACAACAGCGGTGGATCCATTACTGTGAATGGTTTCACCATGAACGTCCCGAAGAACCTTCTGGTCCAATTCCCGGCAGCCTGGGTTCCATGGAAGGACTTCATCGCTAGCAAGACTGACTTTCTTGGATTCGAAACATTGGTACGTTAAACTGCCCTATTGGATTTGACACTCAGCTGAATACTGATTCTATGGCTTAAGGTCATCGGGAATACTGTCAACGGCGTACCAATGGTTGCCCAAGTTCAATTATACGAATTCTTCGAAGGGCTTGCCAGCGGGTTCATTGAATCTCTGGACTACGCAGATGGAAGCATGAAGATTCAGAATGGCCCAACCTTGCGCATTGCTGATCGCAATGCGGTCTTCTCTGTGGGCTACACTGCGGCTCCCTTCATGAATGCAGATGACCAGAGCCCCAGCATCTCGGCTTTTTCTGGGTTTCCTATGTGCATTCCGCGAAACGACACCGACCCATTGTGCCCTTTGACTAATCGCCCTTTTGCTGGGCCTGGTACATTGTTAGTGAAGACCCTTAGCCAAGTACTGAATGGAAAAATACTGACATGGAAATTCTCTTTTAGCACTGCTCCAGACCCGCTCGCAATGGCTCCGTTCCAGGTTGGGGATTTCATCACCTTTACCGGTTTCCGGCGAGGCAGCGAGGTCATCGCGTTTAGTATTGTTGCCCAAAATGTGCAGATTAATACTTTGGGTGATATTGTCTATCTCAGAATGGAGCTAGGCCTGCTTGGTATTGATAATCCGAGTCCAAATGCGGAGATTGCAGAGTCAAGGGTAAGTGGAAAAGAGCACGAACCACTCCAGGTTTTCCTCTTTGGAATTGTACCGTCCGTGGCCATCTAGTTCACTAACATACGCATAGTTCATTGGTTTCACATCCAACAATCGGGCTACAGTCTCTTTGTACGCAATGGATGTTGACCCCTGCACCGGCGCGGTCACGAACCGTATCATAGCTGCTGTGGGCTTGCGCGGTGGCAGAAATGCTCAGAACAAGTTTGAATACCGCAGCGAAATTCTATCACGCTATACGCGCGAGTTTTTCGTCGTTGCAGAGATCGACGGCATTCCCAAAACTATCGTGACGAAGAGCAACATCACAGCAGGAACATATGTCCAGCCTGTCAATACATGGATTCAAGGAGAGCAAGATGTCCCCGGCGTGCCCCCAGTTCCCCATGACTTTTCGCAGATGGCATTCTTAACCCAAGGAGTGGGTCCTGATGCCGATGGAAACATCTGGGGGCCAATCCAGCCATTCCCGCAGACTGGTGTCATTGTGAACCCTCCTCAATGCAACGCCGTTGCCGAGACTGCTCAATCCGATACTGGTAAGTGAAAGTCCGAAGCGCTTGATCTACCCCTTCGCGTTTTGCCTGTTGGATTACTGACTTTGTGTCTCTTCTGCATCAATATAGCGGCATTGCAGAAAAGAGGTACCATCGGTCGTTGGTACGGACGTGCTCGTTCTGAGGCTATCGCAGATGCTGAGAACAAGGGAACTACTGATGCTGTCCTTTTCGTCGCTTCTGATCAACTGCAAGGCGTATACTAATATTTTTGCACGTTGCTGATGGATGCAAGATTAAATTTCTCCAATGAGCGATAATTTGAAACGAAAATGTGGTCGTCTCATAGAAGCAACATGTATATAATTGAATCTTTGGCAGTTGTCCACGGGTCGGTACAGTGCTCTGTAACGTATTTAAGTTTTCGCTGCTGATCTGCAATGCGCTCCTCTTATTTTTGGTTAAAAGAAAACCATAAATGTTGTGGCGGATGTTTCGAATCCCAAGAAGGCTCCGAAAGGGGTCCACAAGTTGCTCATTTTGAGTATGGCCACCAATGTCTCATCCAATTTTCAGGTATCCCCTTGTTGTGCCCGAGTCATCAAGGTACTGCGTCCTCGTCTGCGAGGGGTTAGATTTGAAGCTTTCAGGCACAATAGATTCGGACAAAGTCAAACTTTATCATGCTTTTAAGACTCTTCAAGAAAGAAGGTTTCCGAACATATTAGGTTCAAACCTTCACATCCTTGACTCCTCGCTTACGTCTCAAAGTCTGCCACATTGACAATCATATTTCTATTAACACCTGCGATCTCCAGAAGTGAGCCTGCATTCCTCAACTTCTCCATTCAGCCACTCAGATCTAATTTTCGGTCTCAAGCGGCATATTTGTTCAAGCTCTTATTCGTACTGCTTGGCACGTTTGATACAGCCAGCCGTGACCTGTGGTTTCTGCGTAAGTCTTTTTCAAAAGGAATTTGGAATAGGAGCATGACCCAAATCAGTTCCCAACGAAGTCAGCACTACGTTAAACGAAGTCTTATCCTCGCACTTCTGGTCATTTGGTGTCTCTGGTTCTGGACAAGAGACAGTACCGCTTCCTTGGACAACGCGCCCCCTTTTAACCATGTCTCCTCATCCACATTGCAAAATCCAAGCGATCCGGACAAGCCGAAGCAAGGGGAGATTTCGCTTTTTGAAAGCACGACGACACAATCATCCCCAAAGCTGATTCAAGAATATGTGCCGCCAGAGTACCTAGCTCTTTCTGACGACCAACAACAATGCGAAGATATATATGGCAACTCCTACCTTACGAACATAGGCAAGACTCAACTACAAAACTGCGACAGCAACTCTCTCTCGGAGCTGCACTGCTTCTTCGGGCAACGTTTATGGAATAGATGGGTGCCATGGAAGAGAGACCCTCTTTGCCTAGCTCGAGGGGCCAAATTTGCCCCTAACACACCAACCTTCTCATCCGAATACAAGGGCGCTGAGTTCGAAATACAATGCAAGCGACAGAATATTGAACAAGACTTGCTGAGCGACTACTGGGGAGACACAGGCGTTGGAAACACTCTCAAAACATGGCAATTTCAGGGGAAACAGGACATAAGCAGATGTAACAGAGAAAACAGTACCGACGATTGGCTCATACTTGTGCGTCGGGAGACCGGCGATCTGCAAAACATCTGGCACCAGCTGATGCAGATTTCTCAAGCCAGGCACACCATCGATGCGCTCCAGACGGCCGTTAACCCGAGGACCGGCGAGCCATGGCTATCTAGCGTGGATGCCGCGCGCGTACAGGTGGTCTTCGACGACCAGCGTCATCACGCCCTGGAGGATTTGTGGGCAATTGTTGGGAAAGGGCCTATACGCACGAGCGATCTGGTTCCTGGAACATGTTATGGCAACGTGATTGTCCCTCTGCCAGGATCAAGCAGCCCCTTCTGGTCTGCGTTGATTGGGAATATGAAACAGGCTTGCTACAGGCAGACACTATTGAACACTCTCGTGGATCGTGTCTTCAACCATTACGGAATTGAGCCGCGGCCCTCGAGCGATATCCGTACCGACTTGACCATTACGATCATCGATAGGGCTGAAAATCGCAAATTTATCAATTTGGACCGCTTTGTTACCATGCTGAGGGAGCGTTATCCGAATTTCAATATCGACGTTGTCGACTTCGCCACGATAAGCTTTCCAGATCAGATCCGACTGGCCCAAAAAACGGATGTATTGGTTGGTCACCACGGAGCAGCCATGACACACACGATATTCATGGTTCCGGAGTCAGCCGCGGTCGAGGTTCTGCCACCATATTTCTTGCAGCGTGGCTTCCGCTCACTAGGACGCATGCGCGGCATTCAATATTTCACCGGACGATGCATGTGGAGAGAGGAATACAACAACATTACACGTGGTGACCCCATTCCCGAAGGCTGGAGGCCACCTCAAGAACATGAGGGTTGGCAAAAACGAGAATGGACATATATGTTAGAGGATGACTTCTTGGGCCTGGTTGATGCTGCGGTGAGGAGTCAATTGAACCGGCTGAATGATGATGAGAGACTGTCATTGTCCATGTCGAGTGTTGACGCAGGTTGAGGCAGTATAAGGAAATTGGCATTGGCTTCAAGGAGATGCGAGGTTGAAGGACAAAAGTACTTCAAGAGCACACGCTACTACCTTATCAGCATCTTCGTCTTTTCATGCACTCATGACAAGATGTCATGATGCAGGAAATGACTGAACAGAAATATAAATTCAGCAGGAAGCAAGCACGGCCAAGGTGGAACAACTTATAGAGGTTTGGATACATTACGGATTATCAAATTTCATCGACGGGTAAAATAATCGTTGTGGAATTTCGACTTCCACTGGCGGCAGATTGGCGAGATCTGCTCTCCTTGTTGTCAGTTGAAGTCGCCATTATTCTACCCTGGACATCATCGCTAGCGACCGAGGGGCCCGGACTGAAGGCGTAATTTGGGATTTCGGTAAAGTCATTCTACTCAGCAAGCCCCAAGACCATGCCCGGTATCCGATGATATGCATGGACGCTTTGATTGTTTCTATTTTATACTAGGCAAATACCCGCTTCTTTAGTTCGGCGCCTTGAGCGCAGGGCAAAATGTAATCTAGATTTCAATGCACGAGGAGGTCACGCTGCGAGTCACGTCGATTATGACCGCAATATGTCCGCAAGTTTCAGGGAAGCTGAGAAATGAAAATCGCATAATCTAGACCTCTATCTTCGAACCTGGTCTGTCACGTACGTGTGAGTCCACGCGAGATCCCTCCCATCCCAATATCTCATACTGACTACAGCCAACAGAATCCTAGGCAGTGGTCAATCCCATGATTGAGTTGAACTCCGCTTCGTCATTTCTTGCCTGGCACAATCCTCTGAGCCACGTCCTCAAGTCGTTATTGTCTCCAACCGTGTTCCTGATTGTGGTTCTCATCTCAGCAAGTCGCTGCTCTCTCGAAACGTTTGGAGCCGCAGGAGACGGCTGATACTGGCCTAGTTTGATCTCGAACAAGAGAGAAACAAACACAGAAAGATCGGACCTCAGTCTCGCTTGCATGATGGGTATTCGAGCTTGAAAGACAGATGCCAATCCGACGTGGTCCTGGAGGACATTCATCCATTGAATAATAAGATTAAATAGACTCGCGTTGTTGATGCGTATGATTTCCCAAATTGCGGCTCTCTCCACAGATTTAGACAAAGCCATCTTCTTTCTCGCGAGTGGAACACCTGGGAAGTAGTCAATCGGTGCGTGCACGAACCCAGTCCTAATATACTGCGCATCGAGGATAGGCACAACATTTTCTAGGTGGTTAAGCGTAACTCCAAGGTCATAACACATCTCGGCAGTCTGCGATCTCACCCTGGCGAAAGCAATAATATCCTGATTCGTCTGAAGCTGCACAGCTCCATTGAGGACGCCGGGGTTCCGCTGGATCTCAAAGAGAAATCGAGTTTCCCAAGGAGCATTGATAGTTTCCCATACTGGTTGGTCATTCTGGATATGGCTAGGCGCCACTCTGTCTAAAAGAGCGGAAATGGAGTCTCTCATCTGCTGAAGATGCTGCTGGAGGGGCTGCATGTATCTTCGGTGAATTTTAACCCGTGCTGCGGTAGAATGCAGAACATATTGGGCTGTGAGGCCTTGTGAATACTGCACTTCTATGCCGAGAAGACCTGAAGAATTTCAGTGGCTTTACAATGGGCTTGTCGGACAGAGTGTGCTACAGACTTACGGTTCAATTCCATCAAATTCCTAAGCAGTCCACGCATCGTCTCCGTGAGATCGCTAACACGGCCTGCTGTAGCGTCCGAGAGAGGCTGTTGTAGCGCCTCTAGTACCCCGTTCCAGATCGCGTTGAATCCTTGCGTAGAGGTGCTGGTCAAATCCTGAATGCCATGTACTCTGGTAGGCCACGTCCTCTTCTCATAGTGCAAGCGATTACGGAAGAGCTTAGCTGAAGCAGCTTCTCTTGTTAATAATGAAAGATATCGCATAATGGAAATGAGTTGATGTTCCCTCAGTCGCGGAAGGGCGTGGTTGTTGATAAATCCTAGTACCCCTACACTTTTAATTACCGATGTAAGCAAGGGGAAGAACTCCACCACCGTTTGGTTTGGCCTGATTACGCTCATCATCGGAGAGGAAGGGTCCGTGGAATGAATTGAGAGCCTGAGTCCCTGATGGCCAAATTTGACGAACTCTGTTTCCCACCAAGATTCTTGCATGAACTTGGCATAGGAGCTGACTGGGAGAGGCGTCTTCAGGTCAAATGCCGGCGCAGGGGGATCTAGTAGATATAGTCTATATCCGTGAGAAGTGGCGTTGCCATAATTGCCAGCCTCGACGGACCGTTGATTCTGAAAGTGGACTGTAGGGTGCATCCATGGCCAGTTCACGGCGGACAGGAATGGACGGTAAGCGTCATTGTCCCTATCAATAGCAGCCTCGGGTTCCGCCTCAATGTCAAACCCCCAAATCTAAGATCAGTGATTTTAGCTAGTTGATGGAGTTGGAAGTGAATGAGTCTGTTGATATGCCTACCTGTTTTTCAAAGGATTTACCTTCTTCGGCTTGTGGGTCATCCTGAAATCTTAAGATGCATATTGTCAGCTCTGCATAATCCCCACTTTGACTAATGTGCATGATGGGTAGGTACGACGTGCATACGCAGGAAACAAAAACACCCTTTCTAGATTGGCTTCGACCGGACAAGAAATGAATGAGTCCCCCGCCACTTGGCTGTAATGCGAATACTCACAGATATTCTTCGTATGGTACCTGGTACGCTTCTGTTCGGAGTGCCCGAAGGTCGTCCCTCACGCCATCGTCGTAACATGTACCCGGAGGCGGAGTCCATGGCGGATCCATTAGTCCGTCCGGGACTTCCAACAGATATTGGCTGGCAACTATTTGTTGCACATATTAGCAGACATCCTCTATTGTGACCAGTTTCCGGTATTGATGGTCTCTGCGGCGGAAACTTTGGTTTCGATGAAGTTTACTCACACCGAGCTGCATGCTGCGTCGTTAGGGTCAGTAGGAGATGCAAATGGAAGGTTTGCCTATGCTGAACTCACAGCAAGTTCATGAAGGCAGAGCTTGGCCACGTAGACGCTGGCAGCTACTTTCTCAGACGCTGAGTATTGCGGTACCAGAAGCGGCCATAAATATACTGCGTTGATAGCTATTCGGATTTCCCAGTTCGATGTATTAGAATCAAAGAATGTCGTAGTCGTCGCGCCCGCCTCATGATCAACAGAGAAAATTGACCACTTTAATTCTGTTCGAATCAGAGATGTTAGAGCACGCCTAGTAAGCAACGAGTGGAAGAGTAGGCATCTATGACAAACTTCTTCTGAGAACTTCCAATGTAGCTGCGGTTGAATCGAAGTTTCGGTCCATTAACGACCTTGCCGAATCATACATCTTGTCTCTGTCAATATCCAACCATAAGGAGACGTATGGCCTGTACTCAGGTTCGGCCTTCTGCTCTCTAGTTCGGCCATCTCTTTCTACAGCAACCGGCCGTGTGTGGTAGAAGCTTAGTATTGCTTTCCAATACGGATGCTCGTTCAGAAGTACCTTACTTGCGAGCTGAAGTGCCGGTTGCAAAGCGTCCCATAATTCGTCGTTTCTCTATAATATCATATTAGATTTGCGCCAATTGCCTGACATAACATTGGCCGCAGAAGTTAGAGTGCCGTACTTGAACATCATATTGCTTGTCTTGGCCATTCAGATTGTACCAACAGTCAAATCTAGCGCGCGTCGTGACACTGAGTGCAGAATCTGGTGGCAATGGGACCTGAGTCCAATTTTCTCTACGAAGTAGGCTTTTCATGGTCAACAGCGGTGCAAGAGGAGAGACGACACTTGAATCTTACTGATATATGTCTCCACGTAAGTCAGGTGTATCGACGCTCTGGTTCGGATCAAAAGCCCCCGAGTCGCGTAACTGTTAATTGTTAGCGTTAGGTGACTGATGCAATGTAAGTTGTGCAGGGGCGTGAATGACCTCTTGGCTGGTGAGGTCCCCAAACACAAAGGACTGGAAACCTTGCTCAAATCCCCATTCAGCAGTCGCTCCGGTTGGCGTCAACATTGAACGTGCCTCAGCAGTGGGGTCTAATGCTGGGAGGGGAAAAATTCCAAAGCGCCTGTTTGGATTCATCAATCATAAGTTTTTTGACCCTCTGAGTATCTTACTCACTGAGCGTATTGGCTAGCTGGAGGGTCAGTTGGCAATATCGCTGGCCTCATCCTGCTCCAAGAGTCTCCTCTCCTCGGTCTCTCCCGGGTGCCATCTGTGTTGACCTCTATATCATCATCGTAGCCAGGTCGTGTCCAGGTAGGAATATAATGAGCCCACCCAGTTGGGTCGCGTTGCGCCCAATCATCTTGTGTGAGGACTTGAGCATCCTGCTTTGAAAATGTGTAGTCCCAGGTATCTATCGTAGGAAATTGTGCATCGATGTCCAACTCGACATTGCTATCTTCGTCCTCAGACTGCACTGCGGTGGATTCTTGCTGTGCCGCCATCGTTAAGTCCAGGATCTAACCGTTCAAAGATGATTTGATAGCAATTTTTCATGCGCAGCAGCAATAATCGATTGACTACAAGCGTGAACAGGGACTTGCAGCCACTCTTACTTGTAGACGAGCAAGGGAATCGCACACATTGGTATTACTTCTTTGTGTCCCATTGGCCTTCGCCCTTTGTATAAAAAATGGTATAACGTGGCGGTCTAGCTACCGTGGGATGCTGGTTAGTAGGCCGGTTCCGGTCGAATAAAGAGTCTTGAATACTGCGGGCCTTGTTTAATTTATCACGTCTCTCGACGTCCTACGGCGTCTTCACTAACTGATTTGGACTGTGAGAGAGGTGATCTGATATTTTGCTCCCTTTTTATTTTCAATTCCCCCCATTTAACTGGGATCAAGGAGGTGCCAGGAAGAAGGGCGAGGCCCTGGCAGGGACCCCTGCCCTGGTAGGGACAAATATTATATTGGCTTGTTGTTCACTGTTCATATGAAGACGCATTGTGACCTGCGCTTAGGCTTCGTATGTCTAGGTATTGGGCTCGAAGACACTGAGCTGCTGGCGATATGATCATGCACCACAATTCTGTTGAGGCGAGTTTCCGAAGATTTTGCGTCAGCACTGCCGTATCATAATATCTACGTACTCGCGGGCCGACCTCATTCCGAGCGACATACAGTTTCTGGCCCCTCTTGTCGGCTCTTTCAAACCATCTGCCGTCCAAGATGTCAGCCTCCACTCCACATTCATCCGACCCCACTCGCGTCATCATGGCTCTTGACAGCTCGCAATACGATTCCCTTGTTGCAGATTATGAGAGCTCCTTGTATCTGCCCTCTCGGCGCTGCACGGAAGTAAACTTCTTCGCCAACCTGGGTGATGTCAGAGGCCAGAGGATCCTTGACTTATCAACCGGAACTGGTCATTATGCTCGAGCCATGGCCAAACTCGGCGCGAGCCACGTCGTCGGCGTCGACATCAACAGCGGGATGCTGGGAAAGGCCCGGGAGCTCATTGCTGCTGATTCCTCCGTCCCTAAAGACGTGATCAAGCTTGAACTCGGCGACGTCTTCGCCCCACTCAGTCTGAAGAATGCCGACCCCGGCTCTTTCGACGTTGTCACCGGCGTCTGGAGTCTTAATTACGCTGGAGACCAGGCCATGATGGACCATGCATTCAATAACGTTGGGAAATACCTCAAGCCTGGTGGCCGTTTCGTCACAATTATCCCAAACAAAGTAGCTCATGGGGGCGAAAGAAATGACTGGTATGGTGTCAGTAAAAGGATCATCGGCGAAGTTGAGAATGGTTTTCGGATCAGGACAATCTTTTTGATGGATCCTCCGATCGAATTCGATAACTATGATCTCGATCATTCGGTCTTTGTCAAAGCTGCAAAGGGTGCAGGCCTGAGAGATTTCAAGACAGACGCGAAGGAGAAAATCGCGCCTCCACTCAGGGCCGGTGAGGACCAAGCGTACTGGGACCGATATCTGGCAAGTCCACTTTTTGACGTTGTCACGGCGACCAAATGAAGCGCAGTTTGATGGCGTGTTTTCATGAAGGCAATTTCCTGATGTCGGTTGCTTGTCTGATATTCAGCGTTCGCGCACAAGCTCAATTTTCGGCCACTCTTTCATTTACCAGTGATCCATCCGTACTTCATCGACGGTATAGAAAGCCTGCACGTAGAGGGGGCTCCAGACAAGATCTGAGTATCTAGTTATATATTATATCATGGGCATCTCGCTATCCAAGCTTCGTACAGTTCGGGCTTTTGAATCATCATCATATGAAGCTAAACGGGGAGCGAGGAGCTAAGGTGCTCAAATCGCTGCCGATTACATTATCGTTTCCCACTTTATTATAGCGCTGCATGACCAGCCGTGGGACCACATGATGACCCACCTCTGCACACCTTCGTTATATGTAGAACTTTTATGCGCATTTGGGAGGAATTTCCCCCTCTCAGGTAATTGCTCTTCCGACTCCTAAAATAGTCTCAGCTTCTGATCTTGCATTAGAACCGGAAATTCCATAACACCGGCCGGATATCCTTCCAAATCAAGCTCGCTTTTCTGCAACTGACTCCGGCAACGGCGAGCTTGTAAGCCGCGATGCAGGCGTTGGCATTCGGCACATCCATCGCAGTGTTGAAGTCCTGAATTGTGCATTCGAAAGCTTGAATTCACATTGAGAAATATCAACTATAAAAGTCCAAGCATGTTCTGCGCGTCTATGCGAAGCGTGACAGTGGTTCTGATCCAGCCAGAAAGGCGGCGACCGGCAGGGCGTATTGTACATTAGCTGCCGAAAACAACGTAGCTTTGCTCTTCTCCCATGCGCCCCCTAATTTACTTACGACGACGTAATTTTCAACGCATTCACTCGTCAGTGATGTGAACCCATGTACTTCGATCTTCGAATAACAGCCGCCTCAGCGGAAGCACGGAGACGGACGAGGATCCTCGCACGTCCGACCAAGAAACGTACCTCAGCGGCCATCGGTAACATCTGTTTGAAAAGATCTCGAGCATCATGTATCCGCTGCTACCCGATTGAGATCAATCGCCCACATGTGAAGTGGTGGGGGCGAAAATGCGCTTGCATGCTGCACACTGCAACCGACGTCCACACGGGGATTTTCTTGCCCTACACCGAACGATCAGTGTTCCCCTCATTCATCGGGCTTGGTGCTAAAAGTCCTGGCGTGCTTCTCTCGGCGCCTTGGTCAGGGGCAAGCGAGACTCGACATCCGCCAAACAAATCCCGAGAACAAAGGCACGAAAGGATATCAGCATCAAAGCAAGGCGTGTCTCGGCCGCCTGCACTTGCCTTATGTCGCTGGGCGAATATCGTCACACGCGATACGAAGCGCGGCCCAAATCTTCTATGTCTTCGGGGCACTGCGCCAATCGATCTGTCGCAACGCCGTCCAACGAAGTTTTCGAGGCACGCAGTATGTGCTAGATCCTGGATTCAGATGTCAGCAGCCGGCTCCGAGCAAAATGCAGCTTCCCTCGGGCTGGGCACGACGTGGAAGATAGTGGGCAAAGCCCTCGAATCCGACATGACAGGCGGACAGTGAGCTGGCTTTTCCACTCGGCCAGATGAAGCCTGTGGTCTTGACCGGTGATCAGCAAGGCAAAGATGCACTGCATGACCAACTACATTGTACCGGCTCTGCAGCAAGCTTTCAGGGGTCTACCCCAAAGGTGTCAAGCTGGACCACAGTATACGTCTCTCGGGTCGGCCCCTACTACAATTTAGAGTGATATGGCCAAGCTGCCAATTTAGACCCAGCCTCGATCTCGGGGCCAAAAAGACATGTATGCTTCAAGCACATGTCAGATGGCCCATGCACCATTGCCGGACACGCCTGGGTTGTATTGGTGGCTGGTCCAGCTGACGAGCCGAAGCAGCAAGATTGGCGTGATCACCAGCCAAGTGATGAGTCTATGGGCTCTCCCATGGCGTCTCTGGGACGGTGAAGATCTAGAGTCTTTGCCATGATGACAGGATGTCGTACTAGCCTATGCACTGTCAGTGGACCACGCCGCGAACACTGTTAGTGGCGGCTGTGGCAGCTAGCGGGCCGATGTTGGTGCGCGCTTCATCCCCTGTTGGCAGGCCTTTCGACGTCTTTGCTGCAGAGCCGCGTTCGCTTGCCACCTTGATATGATCTTGGCTTCCGTCAATTTTGACAGGTTTCCTCACTGACGGCCGCAGCGATACCTTCAACAGAAAATCTACAACACATCGCGGCAGCGAGTATGAACCGTTGAACGGAAGCTCGTTCACAACATATACTGCCAAAACCTCGCTTTCGCATGCGCGCTGGCTGGCTGTTCCCTGGAACGGAGACAAGACATTTCTTGGGCAGCGCCACGGTCACAGAAGGCACGCCCGCCGAGTTGGACTCGGGATTAAAGGAATCAGATCTCGAGACATTGCCAGCGCGGCTCACCTGTCACAGGTGTCTGTGGAGTGTTCATATAAATGAGACGGCGAGACTGCACCAGACACAAGATCTGAAACCGCCCAACGGCCGAGACTCTGGACTCAAATAATCGTCATATAAATCGTATTTCTTTTCAGCCACCTTCCTGTGAGTGTGGTCTTGATCTCGCATCTCCTTGAAGCACATATGGAAGCCTGTGCCAAAGCGCAAAGCTTAAGTGATCTGAAGCGCGCGTCCGAGGGTTTCGTCCCCGCCGCCACTGGCCATCGTCTGCTAAGTGTCTCTAGCAGATTACCTATAAATGTCCCTTTCGTGGCGAGTGCGTGGCGTTCATCCATCCCATCATATTTCATTTGTCTCACACGTGTCAAGGGACTCATGTCGAAGGCAGTAGAGGGGTCGGTTAGGCAAGACAGAGAGTGCTTGGTTGTTCTGGCCATTGCTCGACCGGCGAGTCCCGTCTGACAAAGTATCCAGAAGCGTTCCTCGTGACGCCGTGATCGCTTTCATCCCTGATTTTGGTCCAACCAGTTTCCAGGACCGACTTCCACTGTCACACAAGCAATTCACTCTCGAGACAGTGGCATCTGCTGCGAGCTACAGCTCCCTGCTCTCAATTGTCTGCCCGTTCCCGTCATCGGCTTCCCATTCATTGGACGTTGGGGTGGCAGACAAGTCAACTTTGTGCAGCACATTGTACGACACAGCACATGTACACTGCCGTCCTTGACCAACAGATTTCTGTCGAGGTGGCCAGCCGGCCCGGACCTGCAATTTATGCATTTTCGACTTCCGATATCTCAGACTGCGCGCCTCATCACCACGGCACGGACATACACATATCGTTTGCCCTTGATTCGGGGTAGATTGCCCCACGGGGTGAGCAACTATCGAGAAGCATAGCGCAACGCCCTTTGACACTGGGAATTAAACTTCATGCAGGACAGTCGTTTCACCTACACCGAAGACACAATCTCGATTCCGGCGGAGTTTCTGTGACACCGAACTCTGAGGAACTGCTTTCAAGCTCGACGCTGTCTGAGTTCTGTATGTCGTCTCTCGCTGTGTGTCCCGATTGCAGCGCCAAGGGAGCTTGCCTTACACCTGTACAGCATCTGTATCCAGCAATTCGGTTGCCGCCGCCTCGTCGTCGATCACCTCGCGGCTGCGGATCCGCGCCCACTCGGAGCCATTCGCCAATATCACAGCTTTTCGTGCCATGTTGGATGTAGCGCCCTTGGGTCTGAATTGGATTTGATATCTGCTTCTATCATCGTACTGTCACATGCTTCCGTTGCTCTATGTACCTTTAGTCGCCGCGTATTCCTTTCCGTTCATTATTCACTTTGAGGCGGTAGCTATTCACGGCTGCCATGGTCACGGATCCTCCCGATATACAATTACGAACTTCATCTCCACCCGAAGTCGCGACCGTTTCTCTACACTCCTCTTTCCGACGCACATGGTGTGGCTTGCCAGGACGGGTCTTGACAGCAAACAATTGACCTTTGATCGTCGTGGACCAGTGACATGCTTCTCTCAGCTCCGCGACTGTCATCACGTGTACGCTAGGAGACAGAGACACAAGGCTCCTAGACCGGTTACCCGTTTACCCCTGGACCTTGGTGGCGGCTCTGTTCTTCTTGATACTTTCTCGCACTCGATAGGATCGGCTCAACCCCAGTCCGTCCTCAAGCCTCGATGCGTTTGATTCTCATTGTCACCCAGGACTTGACCCATTCACTGGCCACACCATTATCACACGAGCAACACCACCTTACTACCATACTACCACACCACCATCTCAGACGAAGCGGAAAAGCCACCCTTGCTTGTCCTTTGGTATTTTCCGTCTTGTTCCTGATATTGACTACTTATTTCCTGTCACCCTCTCCCGCCGCCTGGCTCATCAGCAAGAATTATGGATGTACCGCTGGCCGAGGACCGCGAGTTCGCAATGTTGGATGAACACCAAATCGACACCCTCAATGCAGTCGAGCGCATGGGCGCAACACTGTCCCTGTTTGGGATCATGCTTATATTCATAACCTTTGCTCTCTTCAGACGATTACGGACAATCCCAAATACTTTCATCTTTTTCGCCTCAGTTGCCAACATCGGAGCTTGCGTCGCCTGCTTGATCGCATACGATGGCATCCAGGCTATGAGCAGAGACCGCAAATCTGCCCTTTGCCAGGCGCAGGGCTTCCTTTTCGAATGGTTTGTTGTCATTCTAATATGCTTTCTCAAATGAGGTATCTGGTTGCTGATTATCCTGACACAGGTTTATGCAGTCCGATCCATGGTGGTCTTTCGCCATGGCCATAAATGTTTACATGGTCTTTTTTATGTCTTTCAATCCGACAACATTTCGTCAATACCTGTGGCTCTACTGTTTGATATGCTTCGGTCTTCCAGCCATCCCCTCGTTTGTTTTTCTTTTCCTACGGGAGGATAGGGGTCTGGTGTACGGGGACGCAGCGGTGAGTATCACAGTCTTCCGTCGTTTGACATGTGCACATCATCTGTTCACAGCAATGATATACCAATGACTGATGTTTACTTGTCCAATATAGCTATGGTGTTGGATCAGCTCTGACTGGAACGCACTTCGCATCTACTCTTACTACCTACCAATATGGATTTGTACGGTGCTATCTGCTGTCATATATTTCGCTGTCGGCTACCATGTTTTCCACCAGAGAAATCAGTTGCGCAACCTTTCATTGAGCAATCAAGCAAAAGACGTGGAAATTGATGTTGAGGTTACCTGTGATTCCTCCGATGTGAGAGATTCAGCGGAAAAGGTGTGTTACCCGGCTTCTTTGCGTATCGTTGCTCACGGCTGCCGAAATCCGGCCTGTCAACTATGAACCCCCGAGGTTCATTCGTGTTTGCATCTAAACAATCTTCCCTTGTATGGCAGCTCTTTGGCTGCCCTTGTCAACCCTAGGAAGAATATGAGAGTTGATGAGCTCCCGAGCCCCCAAAGCTCACGTTATCCTGCATGTTACGCCTGCACATCATGGGCGTAATAGGCCTTGCGAACAAATATTTTAGCTCTCTTCATCCGGAGACGCCGAAGTATGAGACAGAGCTTGCGTGTCACTTCTGCCCATCGCATTTCGAAGAGCCGAGGACGAGCGCGTGATTGCTAACCAGACCGTTGTCTCACTAGAATCTCACATCTCACGCCGGTCCGGGCTTCTACGGAACAGTCACGACCGAAGTCCAAGTCACCAGTGCTACCATCCCGACGAGCACAAACCCTGCCTATACCAGTCCGTTCCTTGAGCCGTCAGAGACAACGCATCACAACGGCCCGGCGAAACGGCGCATCGACACAACACACCTACGAGTCAACACGTCACTGGGACAAGAAAGTTCTCCGAGGCTTGGCACCCCTGCCCCCAATGCCCCCGGCGGATTCCTGCCAATACACACTCACAATTATCCCTGGTCACGAGAGCCAAGCTCGGTTTCTGCTGGCACAGTCGACATCCTTTCGCCCTCGGTGACGCTAGTCAATAGCAATGACAGCAGCTCGTACGGGTTTCCCAAGGCGTCGGCCTGCGGCCAGGAGCACAACTTTGAGAACATCAGCTTCAACGGCACACAATTTACTTCGACGATATCTGCCGGCACGGCATCAAAGGATGACTATGACCGTGACCCATCACCGAGTCGCGCCCTACCGCCGCTTTCAGCCAATGTCAGTCCTTGCAGCGGGGCCAGGAGGCTGCAGCAGCCGACGGCACCCGTCATAAAAATGAGGAGACGGCTCAACATCTTCCAACGCATAGCACGCGGCACACGACGCTTCGGCGCCAAGCTGAGGAACATGGACCCAGTGAAGCTGGCATACCTGCGCACCTCGTTCGTGTTCGCCATCTCGGTGCTGGTGACATGGACGCCGTCGTCCATCAACAGAGTGTACACGCTGGTATACCCGAACCAGGCCTCCTACGGACTCAACATCGCAGCGGCAGTCGTGCTCCCGTTACAGGGCGTCTGGAACGCCGTCATCTACTTCACTACATCATGGAAGATCTTCCGCGAGGAGATGGAGACAACGCGGGCTGGGCTGCGCGTGCTCGAGTTCCTGCGCCTGGACAGCGGCGCGGAGGGGACCCGGCAGAGTACCGGCGGCAGCTTCGCCATCGGGTCCAGCGTCATGACGCCGCGCAGTGAAATGGGCAGGAACCGCCGACTGGACGGCGAGAGTGGCGATGGGAACGATATGGAGCTCGTTGCCACGACGAGCCCGCAGAGGCCGAGGCCGGCGCAGAGAACGAGCACAATGAGGGTGACGAGGAAAGGCCTAGATGATTTTTCCTGAGTATTATCAGTATTTTGTCAGCTGCCCATCCCCTGAAGCGTTGCATCCCAGACTCTGACTTTGGATCCTAGGTATTTTGAGCATCCTCCAGGTGATTCGAGGTCGCCGGGCGCCAGACGCTCCATTCCCATTTTCTTTACTTACGAAACAGCGAGCCAGCGTCGCTTTTTTGGTCATGTGCTCCCACAGCATAACTGTTCATCGGGAAGTATATAAATGGGTTTCTCGATTTCCTTTCGTAAAAGAGTGCTCAGTCCGATGTTACGGATGGTGAGCCCCTTATAAAAAGATAATATGATAGACCCTTACAATCCTGATGAGCAATTTTGTCCATCCTATACATATGTTTCGCACTTGTGTGTCTCTTGAAGTCATAGCGGCAGTCCTCTTACGTGTATCACATTGGTCTCGAGACAGTGTGTCGACGCTGCTGCTATGATGTTGGCACCCAGTTGTATTCGGCTGGTGTTTATGCAACTATGCTCTTCAATGTGCCAGCATATTCGCTTGATGCAACTGTAGATGGGGCGAGACTTCGTAAATGGCACCAGCCCAAACACTCCCGACATGCGACTGGAGCTCGAGTCGTGGCTCGATCTTGCAAGGAGGTGAAATTCTTTACACACTTCGATGGCTGCTTCAGAGAGAGTTGTCAAGACTAAGCAACGTTGTTTGAAACGTTGGCTTGCGGGTAACTGGAGAACTAGGAACAAGGCTTAATATTCAGGTTGTGATCAATTTTCTGTGACTCAAGGTCATATCCCGTGGCCTGCGGTCAGTTGCAGCGCGCGGCAATACGGGCTTGTCTTGGATGCAGCAAAAGGCGCCAAGCTCGCGCATCGAGATATGGACCTACATATCCATGGCTATCTTAACTCTATATAGCTCATTGCCCAGACGAACATATTATCTAGATCAAATTATTATGAGAATAAACGATACCGTCCCAATCGGTAGCGCGCTATGTGGAAGTCTCAATCCGAAAGCGTCAATCTCCAACCGGGTTTCGGTAAGATGGCCTCTCGGGATCAAGATTTGGGGCGCGAGCCTGCCACAGCACCAAGCCTCTGTTTGATTGCTCGAGACCGCTGGACTCAACTCAATTGCGTTCGCGCCACATGCAGGTTTACCAGGACCCGCGTCTGTGGCGACGTGGAAGCTCTCAGTCCCAAACAGTGCTTGGGAGGCGCGCGCTCCCTCCGTGATTCAAGCATTGATCGGCGCGCTCGGGAGAGAACAGCCGGGATGAACCCTTTCCCGTGGCGGAGGCTCTTGGTTTCAAGGGCGTGTTGAGCCAACCTCCTTGACGCTTAATCACCAACTTTGACGTTGATATCAGCGTAAGCTTGTCCTCTATCCACGCTTCGCGTGTTTCGTTTCTTGAGGCAGTGGTTCTTATTTCTGGCTGGCAGCCGGGAAGTATCGTTTGTTGGCTTTCGGGTAAGGCCAGAAAGAGTTCATGATCCAGACTGCCCCGTTCAATTTCCCAAGGCAGTAAAGCTCACAACCGAGAGAGGCAAGAGACCGTTGACGGATGTGATAAGAAAAGTCTGGTTGGGAGTGATGCACCTCTCATCATCGGCATCGGCAGTCTGAATATCATCATCATGGACTTTGACTTTCCTGTTACGGATGTTTGTGCACGGCGTAGAGATGTGTTACTTGCACAACGGCGGGACGAATCGCAATCGATGGCCACTGTCGTCTCTGCAGCTGTCATCCGATGTGAAGGCGGGCTAAAGGACAGGGAGGCCGAACAGTATATGCTATTGTGGGTGACATGCGCGGAGGCCACTATCCGGGTTCCACATCGTACATGTGCTTGGTGATCCAAGCACAGCTGCTCCCAAATGGCTCTTCCTAGTCCAAATCTCCGTCATGTAACCGCCCAGCCGCCAAGAGATACTATGGTATTTTGCCTGTTCGAGCGTAGAGACCTTGGCAGCCCTGTCGGTATCTAACCACCGCGGGTCCTATCACTGATTCATCCCGCGCGCGGCCTACCGAAGCGAGCGCCCGGGCCCACTCAATCTACTCTCCTTGATTTATTTTCGAGGTCATTGAATTCTCGCACATTCAATACTTACTGCGCAAGTTTTCAACAAGTGTTGACAACGCAAGATTATTTATTAACTTTCGTGCTCGCTCCGTGGAAAAGAAGTTCGGGCTGGACAACTTACACATCCAGACTTACAGCGTCACTTTCTTGACAAGCTCTCAGCCAATATGCGAACCACGTTCCTGCTCTCGTTCCTATCAGCACTGGCTTTGCCAGCCTTGGCAAGGCCCGAGCCGCCCACGAGAGTCCTAGCCGCAAGGCAATCCGTCGTTACGCCTCCCCCGTGCAAGGCCATTAGCCCACCACCAACAGCAGCCGAGACAGAAGAACGATTCAACAAGTTTGCCAACGAGTTCTTAGTTACGAAAAATTTGACGGCTGCTTTTGAGTTTATCTCCTCAACATACATCGTACGGAACCCTGTTCCACCGTCTCAACAGAGCGGTGTGCTAATGTCTCCCAGAACCACAACCCATTCGCCGACGACGGTCCAAATGCTGCCTTGGACTTTCTCGGGCCCGTCTGGCCAGGCACCCAGATTACTGTCCTCCGGACTCGATACATCGACCCACAAGGATTCCTGAACTATGAAGCCAGCGGTATCGGAACTGTTGTCGACAGATTCAGGTGGGAAGCGGGATGCATTGTAGAACACGTAAGTCGTGCCTGCCGGTTTTGCCTTCCGACTTTTTGTGCTATCGTTCCCACATCCGCGATAATACTCAAGAGACAGCGTAACAAGCTAATATGTCATCACAGTGGGACCAAGGCGAGGTGTTCCCTGCCGACAACTCAAGCACGACGTCGACATCAAGCATGAGCGCGAACGTGACAACTACACCATTGACACCAGTTACAAGCGGTGCTTCCAGACGGTATTCGCTGCTGGGACGGAGGTGAAGAAGAGATGTCGTTTCTGCTGTGAAAATTTGCTGGCCGGGAGCAGAAAATGTTTTTCTCCGCATCAAATCTTGTCAATACTATCGTTTTCCGGGGAATCGTTTTCCGGGGAAATACAGTATCAGCCCACCTGTATCTATTTTGCTATTGCTTGGGCCGTCGCCTTTGTTGCATATTTTGTGTCGTGTTCTCAGATGGAGACACACCAACTCATCCGATATCAAACTTTTGTGGTCATCAAGTGCTGCCGATGGAATATTTCAGTGGCCGAAAACTGTGACAGGTTTCAGTATCTGCTATAATTGGTCATGGAAGACATATTCTAGGCTTTAGGATTATCATGAGCAAACTGAGAAGGCTCCGTGATCGCTTCGCGAGTTGTTGAACCGGATACAAAGCTGCACCGTATGTGGATGGCTTCTGCTGTTATCATTTCGCGATTGTGGCGGAGACTGAGTACATGTCCTAATGAGCAGGTGATAAATCTTGTTTTCCACAAACATGCTCGACAATGATTCACTACCAAGCACAACATGATTTGCGGTGATGGCAGCACGTTTTGTTGACACCAACGATGTACATTCACCTTCTCGATCAATGGCCATTGGGGGCCTTTCTATAGTCACTGAGCGACTGCCTCAGGCCAAGAACACCGTTGGTGACCAAAGCCTCGAAAGCAGTCAGCCGCACGAAGAGGCCTCCAGTGACTAGTGCTTGAGCAACGACTGGAATTTTATTTTGATGGCAAATTGTATTTGAAGGACTGGGCTTGGCTGCATATGAATCTAACTATTATGCATCGCAGCGGATGTCAGACGTTGCTAGTTGAAAGCTGAGGATCCGAGGAGTGGACGGACAGCAAGCCGTCAAGGCCTGGCGTATTGCTGTTCTCAGGAAGAAGAAAAATTGTTGGATTGGGAAGTAGGCTTCAATGCTCACTAGAAGACGGCGAGGATCAGGGGCTTTATGGGAGGTTGATGGTGATGAGAACTCGCCAATGAGAACAGAAATTGCTATCCGACAGGACAACCAATATTGATGCACCCAAATAGTGATATTGGCTTGTGAGGTGGTGCAACAAGAGCAGGACTTGTCAATTACAATGAGATGGTTTTGAGCGTGAAGGGCTCTTCGCATGAGCAAGCTTGGCTCTCTGTTTTAGGCATTGCAAGCCCCCAAAATTATCTCATCTCCAGGGCGTACACAACGAGCACGCCTTACTTTCCCGTTCCACTTCAATACGAGAGGTCTTCACACCTTCCCTCCGGCATCTGAGTTGCTGCAGGGAGAAATCGGTTGGTCGAGAGCAGGGAACAACGCTTGATTTTCAATTAAGAACGGCCATGAGCTCGAGATCAAGCCTTATCTAAGTTTATCACATACTTCCCTTGGACCTAGATAATACAGTCAGTAAATGCCATTTCATTCTGGACAGATTGCCTTCTTAAGATCACTTACCTTGCCCTTGCTGACTTCATCCATCAGTTCGGATAATCGCTCCAGCTCGGCCCATTGTACCTTGGGCTTGACCAGACCCCTCTTGATGAATTCCAACGCCTCCAGAGTGTCTCGGCGCGTACCAACCGCAGACCCCATAATCCTCCACCCAGATGCGATGAACATCAAGGGATGTACAGAAAATACTCCGTTCGGAGGTGGGATTCCAACACACATCAGCGTGCCAAACGGAGCCAGCATTTCCAGAGCGGACTGATACGCTGCCGGTGCTCCTGCGCACACTATCACTGCGCTTGCGCCCAAGCCCGCGGTCAGTTTCTTGACCACCTCGCCAACACCGGCAGCCGAGGCCTCGGGCAAAGTGATATCGACGTAGTGCTCCGCGCCCTCCTCAATGGCGTATTTTCCCTTGCCAGGACCTGCATCAGTCGCAATGACGCGATATCCCATCGCCTTGCCGAAGGCAACGGCGAACGCGCCGACACCACCACCTCCGCCGCTGACCACGATCCACTGGCCTGGGGTCAAGCCAGGAATTGATTTGATCGCCTTGTAAGCCGTGACACCACCACATAGCACCGGCGCCACAATCTCATCTGCAACATCGCCGAACTGGTCGTCAGGAATCTTCAGCAGATAACGCGCAGGGACGAGCGTGTATTGCGCAAAAGTCCCCTCCACGGCGGTTCCAGAGTGTGGCTTCAGGGCGCACCGCGTCTCGCCGTCCTGCGCGAGGTTGGTGCAGAATGCACAGCTACCACAAAAGTCCCGCGTCCATGCCACGCCCACACGCTGGCCCACTTCGATGCTTGGGTCGAACGATGCGACGTTGCTTCCCAGAAGCTCGACACGGCCGATGCCCTCATGGCCCAGCACGGATTTCGTGGGCCCAAGGTGGCCTGCGGCCTGTGTGCAGTCCGTGCCGCAGAGCGAAGTGAGGTTCAGCCGGACGAGCACGTCATTTGGCCCGGGCTTTGGCTTGGGCAGTGACTGTATCTCGATCTTGGGAGGCGTGCCCGTTTCCTGCGATTTTGTCTCAGCTCACGGCTCACCTCACTAGACCGGTGTGTGCAGATTAAATCCAGATGTCTCAGACACCCTGGACGTGCGGCTGTGCATGCAGCCAAGATCGTGTACTCACCGTCACCACGGCCGCTTTATACGTATCTATATTTCCGTTCATATTCGCAGTTCAGGTCAACAAGTCTAAGTCAATGAGTCGCAACAAGATTCCACAGCCTGGGTTGAGAGGGATTTATCAATATGGTGCTGTCGGCCAGGAGGTCGGCAGATGTGGGTCCCGATAATAGAAAGGACGACTCTGATGCTACACGGGGTCGCGCCGTTGCCTGCAACAGCCGCGGGACTCGAAACCGCGTCTCGTTTTATGCGGAGGAAGGATTTCCCAGGTACGTCCGGCGCCCAGATCGCTAGTCACATCCCATCCCAGCAGCCCGGTCAGCTGGCGAACGGGCCTTGTTTACAGCCGAGCTCCCATTACCACAGTAGACCTATTACGCCCAGTAGTCCCTGGGACATCCCCTCACGTGCGTCCGTATCCGGTGAACCGCGTGGATATGGGTTGGGTTGCGCCCCACCACCCGGAACCCGGAGTGAGGGGTGCCCTTGAATCAGTCACCACCCCTGTTAACCGCGGTCTCTTCGGATGAACGTCTAGTCTAGCTTGGTGCCCCGATTTGGTGCTTATCATAATCAGCCAGGACTGGAAACATTTTGCAGCATTTTGTGGGCAAAACGAAGTGTGGTGGTGATGGTGATGAGCCGGGCCGCGGACAATTTCTGTCTTTCGTCGATCAACCTGGTGATGTTATGCGCATATGCGGCGCGACCACACAACAAGCGAAACACTATTGAAAGCAGGACGTGATAAGGGCCATATGCAAACTGGAGGCGCCCAGTACACATCATTGTAGTGAATGCAAACTGCTCTTGGCGTCGCTCTCTCCGGCCTGTTTGATCAACGAGCTTTGGGTCAAGACAAGCTCGTTGCTCAACGTGTGTAACCAAGTCTTGGAATGATCAAAATCCGCATGCACTATCACCTCCGGGAACTTTCAGGTTCCGGCACACGCTCGATAAACTAAATACAGACAGCGTTGCAACAATATGACCCTGAAAGTCCCAAGACTCATGTCCGCTGCGTGACCCACGTCGTATTATTGAACACACACCCACGGTTCTCAAACGTTTCGAGGGACACAAACTTTCAGAGATAAATTTTCGGCACTGAAAGAAACCTGTCTGGTCACGACGGTGATGAGGTATCTGTTTGCCTATCTCACCAAGCCAATTGCGCACAGTTGATCACCGACACGTGGCAGCCACAGAATTCTGCGCACAGGCTGTTTCCCCTGGCGCTAAACAAAAAGGGACAAAGCATAGCTGTCAAAGCCAAATCGAGCACGGTGAAGAAGGTCGCACCAGCCTCAACATCGTTAGGCTATTGCAGGATCAGACAGTTGTCGAGCTCTCTCTCTCTAAATTCGAGACCGCAGAGCCCGTTGAGTCTGTCAGGGGCTGAGATGAGATGCGCCGTCAACGATTTTCAAGTGAAATGTTTGTGTTGGATTCCATTCTTTGTTGCACAGTCCCTTAGAAGTGGCTTCTGACTGCTATCATATGTCATGCCAAACTGACCGACCAGAATCGGAAAGAGCTTCAGGAAACCGTGATGCCAATCCTATCTGTAAACTTATTATTAAACATTCCGTTGACGTTCAACTGCCTGTAGACGTTCAACCATTTGTCCAAGTTTGCCCCATACCAATCGCGCACGTCCTGCGCCGTAACAGTGTCAAGATCCAAGCCCCAGTGCACTCGAATGGACCTGTCTGCCGAAGACATGGCACTCTTCACTTCCTGAAGCAACTCCACCCCCTTCTTGATGCCCACAATGTTGGACATCTCTGCCGTGACCGTGAGCCGGCCTGTCTGGGGTGCAAGCAGCGCTTTTGATGCGGCGATGAATCGAATACCAATCGGTCCGGCAACATACAGGTTTTTCTGATCTGCAAGGGTCTGGAATGTGGACATCAGTGTGTCAATGGTCGTGACGAGATTGTTGGCTTCGAAATGAAGCTCGATTGCATGGGCTTTGAGCTCAAGTTCCGAGTCCAGCACCTTGAAGACAACGTAGCTGCTGTCAATGTACGGCGCGTCGTCAGTTTTCAGCGACTCCATAGCGGCGTTGATTGAGGAGGGAGCTAGCCGCGGAAAGATGTTCAGGATGTCATCCAGTACGCCTGTGAATAAAATACCGAGATCCTCCAGTATGCGACCCCAGAAATCCTGCCTTGCGCCGCGCTTGGGTGTGTTGCCCACGCGAGCACGCTCGATCCACACACACGGGTGCTTGTTGTCGTCGTCGCTTGCGTATGGGCTTACGACCAATTCGAAATGATCCCAGTCCGCCAATGGGGCCGGCAGTGGATTGAAATTCTCAGATGCAAACTGACCCTTGATGTCCTCCCATCGCACCGCGGTACGATTCTCCGAGACATGAAACGCGGCTGTCACTTCGATCGTGTACGAGTAGATGACACCCAAACAGCCCATGGAGACTTGCGCAGCATTGAACCAGTCGTCATCCTGTACGAGAACCACAGGAACTCCCGGAGCTTCAGAAAGCCTGCCGGGGAACTTGGCTGGGTCGGTGATGGCGCCGCTGGCTGGCTCGATCTGGAGTACGGTCCCGTTCTCGACCACCATCACAATCGATCGTAACATGCTGGCCATTGGTCCCCACTTCGCACCAGAGCCGTGAGTTCCGGTACTCATGGCTCCAGATATTGTCTGCCCGTCGTAGGCAGGCATATGGACCAACGCGAGGCCTCGGCTATCCAGCTGCTGGTTGAGATCTTTGATAAGTATGCCACTTTGAATTCGAATCAGAGACATATCGGTGCCGTGCGTGCTAAGAGTGGCAGTATCAATATCCAGTACCTCAGCCATTTGGTGTGGATCAACCAGGACAGCCCCATCAGTGCGAGTGATGTCGGACGTGGAGTGCCCGGATCCGACAGCCCGCAAGCGTTGTTTGTTGGCACGAGCGTCGTCAATAATATCCACGAGCTGGTCAAGGGAAGTCGGCGCTGTCTTCTTGGCTGGTGTGCATATTTGCTCGCCAAGCCAATCAGACCACTGGTCTGTCTCCGCCCTCTTGGTGAGAGACTTGTGCATGTCGTCTGAATTCTCGGAGTTTATGTCATCCCCTGCAGTTGTATCTCGTCGTCCCAAGTCAGCTTTCATGCGGATGGCATCTGGAATTGCTAACTTGGGGTCCGAATGTAAGGAGGCACGACCTTGCAACCGTGTTGCAGCAAATCCATAATGATGGGCGCCATGGCCAAATGACTGCGCGATTCTAACAAGATCCATGATCCAAAGATAATACCGGCGGCGAACAGGGACACTGTCGAGGGCGATCTGAGCCGGTAGAGTTAGGACATGGGCAGCTCAGTTGTTCCGCTGAAGAATTGGGAAACTTACTTCTCCGGCTTCTTATAACCATGAACGGAAAATTTTGTTGCAGCTGACAGCTCTTCACTTCATCAAGAGCTAGGATCCTCAGCTCGATCACGTTGCTGTTGTACAAATATATATGATTACTATTCGCATCGCCCTTGAGCTGATGTTGCCACTTGTACGGAAGCCTATTTTCTGATGCTTTCCGGTCTAATAAAATAAGATTTCGTTCCCAGCCGAATGAAGAAGCTTAGATCAGCAGCTGTAGGTCGAACACAATATAATTCCCTGCGGCAGTTGGATTGAGGAGTCTGTTCGGACGGAGTGTTTAAGTACGATCGCCGACGCATGTGACAAACCTTTCGCCAAGCAATAATCACAAAAGGGGCAGCTGATATCGCGTGTGCTTTCCCGAAAGTGTACATAGCACACATATACGAAATGTAAACTTTATGATGAGAAATACTGCCCCCCACCCCTGAGCAGCTGAACTCCTTTCTCCAAAGCTTGAAGATATGTCAGCGGATTGCCACGATTCCTCCGCCAATTGCATCTGACAATCATTCACAAGAATTGATTTCAGTAGCATCGTACTTTTGAGGGTGTGCTTGGGGGAGGGCATAGATCATGCGTTGTCTCAATAGGAATTACTCCTGGCGAAATCTAGGACAAAAGCTATAGAACTGAGAGTTGTTCTGATTATGTATGTACATATGATCTAAGGGTGATCGTGAGATTGCCACTGAACTGTTCTGATTCTTGAGCCCAGCCACAATTTCATAATGTGTCATTCTGACTGTTCCGCCTTCTGGAAATGACATACGGGACCTGATCTCTTCTCATGTCAATACCTTCAAAGTCGTTCCCATATGACCTGAGCCGAAACTTTGAATCCATCTCCACATCGGCCAATTATTGGACTACACTATTTCTTACAGACATGGGCTTTGCCGCTTATAGAACCGGGCTTCTTGCAAAACAGATCTCGGTCCAACATGCCTTGCTGACTCGAAGTTGCTGGTGAAACGGACTGAACCCTATGGGTAATTATGCTAACCGTTGGAAAATCCGCCAAATTTCGAAATTCAAGACACTTACCTGACATTCATGTTTTCGTGCTGGTTCACCGATCCACCAATGCCACAATTGATATCATACGAGATACCAACACAAACACCCCAGAGCTCACCGAAATAATGCAGTGCACAACTTCATTTACTGATCGACACATGTGCACTGTCTCATGGAACGAATCATGAGTGGTTTCACTGTCTTGAATGCCACTGGAGCAGGGTACGGAGGGGCTCATGTCATTTCATTATTGAGTGTACAAATATCTAAGAACTGCACGCACTGTGGCTTCAGACTTGCCAATCAAGCCAATTCACCAGATGCATCCCTGCCTCGAGTGTATTGTCGCAAGGTTTCTAGCCAGGACGCTCCATGTTTCCCACGATATCCTTTCGGCCGCTGGAAGAACAGAGGTACATCCAAGCATCAGAAATTGCAGTGTTGCAGACAATGTAAGTCGGAGGATTGCAGGTCGTTTGTCCCACATTAGGGCACCACTCGCAAGAGTGGTCACCAGGGCGGCACTTGAGCTGGGTGCAAGCAGATCCCACAGAAGGAAAGTAAGCCGCACGCTCGTAGTCGGTGAAAGGTTGGCCGTTGACGATCGAGAGGTCGAGCCAAGACTGTCCAGATGTTCCGTTGACGGCCAGTTCCATTTGGTACAGATTGGTATCTGGGACTCTCTGGTCAGGAGAACATTTCATCACAGCGCCGATGGCATCCTGTAGAGTGGTGTTAGTGGTCTATCTTGAGAAGAACTTCAATGTTGTCGCACCGGACATGGCGATTATGTTTGTATCACCGAAGAAATTTCAACTTGCCTTCCAAGCTTCCAACGGGGACTTCCAGGCTCCGCCGGCAGCTATCTCTTGGGTGGGTGTTGTTGTTCCTTTAATAGTTAGCAAGGTCTGTTGCTATGTTCAACTTGGTTTCGAGCTAACCCAGTGGAGGATCGCTACGGGCACCCAAACAGTAGATTGGGAAGTTGCACTTGTTCATGACGTTGAGGAAAGAACCGCAAACGCCATTGAGCAGCACAAGAGCTGACAGGATGATTGCGAGTTTGGTCATCATCTTGGCGGCTTGAGCTGAGTGATGACTGACCAGGAAAGACTTCCGTAAGTTTTGGTAATATAAGCACGCAGCGTTGTTGAGTGATACCTCGGTGGCTGATTCTTGAGTCTGTTGGGGACAACTGCGGTAGTCAGCCAGAGGACAACTCGGAGCCAGTCTTAAGCCAAAGCACTTATGTATAATTATTTCATGGACCTCGTTTGGTGAATTGTCCCTGTAAACATAGTGAATTTATACGGACATGTGAATCAATGTGGCCCAAGTCATAGAGCCTCGGTCAAAGGTGAAGACACTTTAACACTTCGTCTGAAATATTCACAGTGTAGACCTATCACTATTCAAGCCATGCAAGCATTGAACTCCATAGAGATTATGGTAAGCCGCACTTATACTTTCAGCCTTACCTATTTCTTTGCCGTTTGAGTTACTGAGCCTATCATTTAGTCAGATTTTGAATACTTTCGACTTATCCTGGTATGTTTCAGTCTGTGGACCATGTCCGTCGCTATTCATATATTGAATTTAGCATGTCAAATGAACTAGTTGTCAGGCCTAAAATGAGAAATGGGATTCCTAGCTGATACTGAATCAGGCAAACCAAATGGTTTTCTGATTGATAAGGGATTGTAGGATGGGCTGTGTCACTCTATCAACTCTTAGAGGAGTTGAATTAAGGAAGTGCTGTAGGTAAGTGGAATACAGCCCAGTGATCAAGTCCTGGGAGGTTAAAGGCTTTCAGCCGGAATATAGGAGTCACAATATAGGGACTTAAGTAAGAAAAGTATGGAAGAATGGAGAATTGTGGCTTTCAATAGGCTTAGTTGCCGCTGTGAAGAAGAAGCATGCGTATCTAGATGATCTTTACGTTGAGGACCGAGTATATATGCCCGTTTCGATTCGAGAAATGCGAGGATTCAGAATTCAGATATTGAGTTCTGATTAGGGACCGTGGAGTCTTTCCATAGCTACGCACAAAGTCTCAGCATTCTAGTTTCGCCCTAGCAAGGTCCCAATCAGGCCAAAAATGTGCGTATTTGTAAAGCAGACCTGGAATTAAATTTGATTTTAGTTGATCAAACTAAAAAAGATTGTCTTGATAAGTGCTTTATTAGTTGTGCTTGTACTCAGAGCAAGTTATACTTGTAGTAATTCCATTGCATAGCCATCCTAGCTGCCAATGATAACAACCATAGTAATTATATGTCTCAATCTATGATGACGACTTTACTGTCCCAACCATGAATCATCCTCATCTCCTCTCATATTTCGCCACCACTCGCTCTGACGAACCAATTCACCCTCTTCGCCGCCAAGCAGTGTCCAATACTTCTGCAAGAACCAGACCCTAGCTTCCCAGCTTCGAGAATCCCACGGCGTGCCGGTCGATGTGTGACCCGTTGAGGTATCTCTGTCCTTCTTTCCAACCCCTGCCCCGCCCCAACATATCAGTCCGTTGAGGAGGTCATGGTAGAGCTCCTCCTCGTGGATGGCATCTCCACTCGTTATAAGGTTTTTTCTGAATGTCGGGAATGGTAGCACATCAATTACTGGGCGATGCATCATGGTAACCTGCTCCTTGATGGGCCTCACGTCCGGCTTGAGAGTCTTGAAGATGCGCTGGACTGTCATCACCGTGTTGTCGGACCCGGATTCATCGACAGCCTTGCCCCTGGAGCGGAAGAATGGGGAAATGGCATCTTCGCCGCAGAACATTTCTTCCGTGATACCTATTTGCAAGCAATTCGACATGATGGCCTGGAGGATGCAAATACGTTCGACTCGGAGCGTGTTCATATAGGGATCGGGTGTGAGTAAGCTTGGCCCAATACTCAACACCTTCATATCCCCCCAGTCCCTTGAAGTTTCTGAGCTTACTTGGACATGGGGCCTGACACAGCCGCAGTCGATGAAGCCAACCCAATATTGTGACCTGGATGTCGTATCCTTGTTTTGGATGAGGTGAGTAAGGTCTACGGAAAGGCTTGGGTCCCAGCTGGACAGAGCGGTGTCTGTGCAGGCTGCAGGTTTGGGGTGAGAGGGTGTGTGATTAAAGAAGTCCACGGAAAAGTCGAAGAAGTCGAAGCCATCATTCTGTTGCATGTCATGGTGGGCGCAACGCTGGGTGACAGTTGTGCTGGTTGATGGGCTACTTCCAGGCACAGGGGCCACATTGGAACCGGCTTCAGGTGTGGCTTCCGAGCTCACTGCACTTTCGTCGCGGACGGAGGCGGCAAACGTTTCAAGCTGTTCGAGCCGCTTCTTGATTTTCTCTCCTAATATTGTGATTAGACAGCCTGCAGCATGGATCCAGTGTTGCCAAGGAGAAGACAGCGGGGAACAAGGGCCATGACTGACTGTACTTCTTCTGGGCCTGTATATTCTGCTGTCGTCTCTTCTCAGGGTCTCGGCGCACCGGCCTCCGTTTGCCCGCGCTGCCTGGGTCGGTATTGCTGGGACCCTGGAGTCGGCTCGGGACAATCGAAAGCCCTTCTGGGCTGTTGTTTTCAGGGTCCATGGCGCTCGCGTTGTGGCTTACTTGATCGAGTGGTCCACTGAGTTGGGTAGAGTGAGGCAATGGAATAGGATGCGGTCGAATTAAGCTCACAGTAGTGGCTGACGAGAGCCACTTCAGTCCATCCGAGTAGGATTCCGGAGGGATTCTATGCCGGCGGGCTAGCGGCCGCCTCCGCTACGCTTTGGTACAACTCAGGCCAGATGACTTGTTCCCGTCACTTCCAGGGCCCTTTCAGCGACAAGTGGCTTGAACTGAGATAATATAAACGCAGGATCAATTCGATCCGTCAAAATCAGAACTGGTCTTTCGGCTTATTGCCTTGACTCTTGGTTGCTGAAATTCAGAACAAGCCACGATCCTAATTCGGAGCGTGAGCACTTTGTGCCAAATACCTAGAATCATATAATTAATCATCAATTATAGGTTCTCGCCAATATCATGGCTTTCTCCGTGAGGAAGGTCCCAGTCCCAATGCTGGCTGTATGCACTCCTCGTAATGTTCCCACAACCGTTCGAAAAGCATGCGAGGGTATCAGGTTCAGTCTTCGTTAAGTGCCAGATTTGGATCTGTATTTACTATTGTTCCACCCGTCTTCTCGATGACAGAGAAGCGAGCTGCCGATACACTCGGATATACTTATATACATGAATAGAATAGGTCAACGAAGCAACCAAAGGACAATCAACTTTACTCAGATCTTGACGTTAGAAACCTCGAAGGTTTGCACCTGGTTGGTGTTGAAGTACGACCAAAACTTGGTGCCGCTCTGCTTAGTATCAGCTGGCGAAGACACGTATTGCGCACCACCGCTGGCGACCACTGTTGACCACCGCGGGATCGTCTGCCCGTCCTTTCCAGCAGTAGAGAAACCAGACAGGTCGAAGTTGATGTACTGCGCGGCGCCCCAGTTGACCGCCACGATGACGAGCTTCGAATTCGCCGCGTCATATGCCGCGACGACATGGTCGGAGCCACCGTCAAGGATGCGCATACCGTCTCGAATGTGGCGACTGAATTGGGCGAGGGCGTAGTACTTCTGTTCCACATTGCTGAGCGTGACAGCGTCATTATCGCCGTTGATGAGGCCCCATCCTCCCCCATCGATCGCCTGCCAGTAGACCCACGCGGTAGGGTGGAGCCAGCGGAAATCAAGAATAAGGTTCGAGACCAGTTGCGCTCCGGTAGCGTCATTTTCACCATACTCGCTGTTCCAGATCTTCTTCCCTGCGTTCGTGGCCAGAGTGTACAGCCCGCTACGATCGCCACTGCCCTTCTGGTAGCCATGGACGTTGACACGACCGAGTTTGCCAACGGCAGTCGAGCCCAGACCTTTGAACGTCGACACGGCACCGTCGTAGCTGTTCTCGTCCGATGCAGCCACCAACGCGGATGTCAGACCCACGGCGTCGAGCTGTGAGCGCATCAAGGGGATAACGGCGGCTTGAGCGGCAACGCTGAAATGGCAACCCTCCTGTGTTCCTGTCTTGCCGTTCCACCAGGTAGAGATTGGCTCGTTGAATGGCTCGACGCTCTCGAAAGTGATCCCCCAGTTGTTCTTTGCTCGTGCGGCGACTTGGGCGAGGTATAGCGCGTGGTCACCCTGGTTCCAGGTCTGCAGGTTGTCCGAGGATCCATCATTACTTCCAGCAGGGTTCTTATTAGTGAGCATCCACCACATGGGCGAGTTGCTGAAAAGCTCGAAGCGATTGGCTCCATTGGCCTTGGCCTTGGTGAGCGCAGCCCTCTGGTTGGCATCAACATCCCAGTGCTGTGCAGTTGTCCATGTTAGCAACAACCCGACCGAGAAAGATCCAGCGCATCTTTTACGTGATTCCGGCTAAAATTATTTTGACAACTCGCCCGAATGAAAAAGGGCCTTTAGCACTGTGTTGCTGCGATACCACGCAATAGAGCCAAGGCAAGCACACGTACGGAATGTTTAAGTCGGGCAGAATAGGAGTAGAAAACACGGGAGAATCATACCCAGCTAGACGAGGTTGGGTCCGTGGACGCCCAGTCCCACCAATACCCATCAATTTGACGTGACTTCTTCATGGTAGACGGCACGGACATGGTAGTACTGTCGTACGTGTTGCTGCTGCAGGCTCCGGCATTGTACCGAGCAATATTGAAGCCAAGCCCGGGAATGCTTTTCGAGTTGAAGGTGGTGTTGCCCAGGCTGTAAAGAATGCTGGCCAGATCGTCACGGTTGCCAAAGGCTTTTGCCCACCAAGCCAGAGAAACACCCCAGCCTTCCCATGTGCCCCAGTTAGAATTGGCGTTGATGGTCCATGTCTCGTCCGCGGCTGCCAAGCCGCCCAGGGTGGCGGCGAGCAGTAGTCCTTTGTGCATGGTGATTTGGTCGTGAAAAAAGTAATGCGTGATCGTCAGGTACCAGGATCGAACGGTACAAGAACCTGTTGTCTTATACTGAAGCTCTCCTGGATGTCTGGGGAAGCCGGCTCCGAGCCCCTGGTCGGGATGGGAACGAGGGTAGGCCACTAGTACACGGGACAATGCAGCAACACCGGCTTCAAACGAATGGGAAGCCCTTCGGTAGTGGTCTTGCCGGAACGAATGGAACGAATGGAACGCTAACAAGTAGCCGCCCTAATGGAAAAAGCTCCCCTGTTGAACCGAGCTGTCAGGTGAGCGCCTTTCCTCCTAAATATTGACTGACCCGTGTTGGGTGTGGACCATCCCGTGGTGGCGGAGCATTGGCACGGGGCCACATCCTCCTTTTGACTTTAGGTTCATCTAAATTGCTGCTATTTTTGCGGGGAACATGGGCGACAGCCTCATGCAACGGTCTCTACCCTCGCGCGGTCTGTGAACTGTGATTGTCAGCAGCGCGACCCCACTTGGTTGTTGAATTCGGGGTATTTCGACGCGCTTGGTCGAGTCCACGAATGAACGAGTTCTTTTTCCGTTAAAATACCACTCCAAATCGATCATTATCAGGTAGGTAACAGCGTCGCAGTTGTTCGTGCTTTACACGTTGGTACCTTGAAGAATACCAAATTGAAACATAAATAGGAACATTAAGCATCGTGCGAGTCATGGAGTGCTCCCCTCACTTTCGTTTGGACTGATCGGCCTGGACCAACCACAATCCTGATCGGAATCCGGGCGGCACCCGTTAATGGCCGTTTCCTTTCCTGACCTACAAAACACAGCGTTCGTGCTCGCCTTGGCACCTGGATTCTTTCTTGTTTGAGAAGGATTCAGGACTACGCAACCATGGCTCCCTGCAACTATACCAAATTCATCAATCAACATGCAGTATGATAATGAGGTGATACTGACATTTAATGTTCTCGGTTTCAAACACTACTGCGGCTGTCGCCCCCCCCCTCTTCTCCCGCGCAGAGACATCAGGAGACTTTCACAAGCGTGAAGTAACAGTAGTGGATAATACAAAGCCAAGCGTGGACCTATAACCACGCCAAATTCTATGTATAGGACTACGTTCCAAGGATATTGGCATCTAGCTCTTGTATGGAGTCGGGGCCAGCTTTCAATCCGAAAATGAAAACCCACGAAAATGATCTGCATGAATGAATTAAATCTATGCTACTCCGAACACCACTCCTCTGATGCTGCACTGTTTTCTTCCCCCAAATATTGTCAAACCCTATTTTGAGTCTGTCTCAATTTCTACTTAGGTGCCCAGTCCACCTCTGCATCTGGTCCCTGCAACCAGCCTATCAAGCTAATTCGGCGTTCGGATCTTTCCTGCCATGTTCGTCATCTCTTGATACACCGCAAACATACCCGTGCTGGGCTCATCAGTCGAAGCCGGTGTCATGATGGGCGTGTCAGGTGAGATGGCCTCGGACGTATGTTGGGCCACCACTGCTGGCCGCCGCAGGGCTGCCCTCCTCTCCTGGTTGTCCCTTGCCATTTGTGCGGAGCGCCGGCGCTCCCAAGCTTGCTCTGCCTCTTTTCTCTTCGATCGGCCCTTGTACCTGTCCCTCAGGGAGGACAGCGTGATATCTCGTGGAGCAAAGATCTGGTACATGCCGCACTTCATGTAAACCCATCTGAAGAGATCTCGCGATACCCTCCAAGGATTTCCAAAAGCTAGGTAGTACGTGATAGCTACAATGCTGAATGAAATGGGCACTATCTGCGTCAGTTGTGCCTAGAGATAGTGTGGAAAATGGCTCCTTCATACTCATCCATTTGAATTGATCAGCTAGTGTCATTGGTGAATCTCTGCCCGCAATCTCCTTGTTATTCATGCCAAAAACGCTCGATATGAATGACATTGGCAACTGGGAGAGTATTGAGTGTTAATGAGACCTATTAGAACCCATGAAGAGAAGAGTCGAAGAATTTGACTCACGAAGACCACGGTTACCACAGTAAAGACCAGAAGCGTAACGTTCTGTTTCCGGGTATCTTCAGCCTCTTTCATGGACTGCCACGCCTGCACGACGGTGACTTGCTGTTGTTTTAGTGAGATGAGATAGTCCAGCTAATTTGTTAGCTGAGAAATCGTTCGTCGAAATAAACACAAATGAAACTCCACTTACACTGGCTGAGATTCCATCCGCAGTCCTTCTCATATCTTCCAAATCTTGTATACAGTTCTCGACCTCACTTAGAAGTGGCTCCATGTTAACGGTGGCCTTGCCTCGTGAGAACTGCAACATGGATCGCTCGAACTTTTGATAGACCTCTAGCTGCTCCAGGGTGATGTGAAGCACAATCTCAAGATCCCTGACTACACTTTTTATTTGACCTTGAAGCTCGCCTTCTTTTCCGATGTCAAGAAAAGGTACGATCAAGTCGCTCAAGCCGTTGTCGACGTCAGTGTGAGCCAGCCGGGAGAAGATCCTCGCCCACTCCCAGTATTGTTCCGCACCGAAGGAGTGTTTAGCTGCCTATTCACCAGACCTTAGTCAAGGGCTTCATGAATGCCCTAATGAAGGTCACGTACCACATCACGAATGGCTTGTCGAAAAAGCTGCATGACAAGAATTGTACCATCTTGCGGCTGCTGAGACGTCAGCACATTGGTGTCTCAACCAACACATGGAGTCCCGGGATGGGGGAGAATTGCATGCCTTGATTCCGCCCATGGAGGTTCTTGATGTTTGCACTTCACAAAGAATGACAAATGCCAGGTCAGACACGGTGCGAACAGAACCCTTGCCGTTCTTCAGGACAGCGTCCCGGATTCGGCTGTGAATTCCTGGGAGATGATTGTGATGGCTCAGGTCACCGTGGTCTGGGAAGCAGGTGAAAATAGTCTGATCGTCGAGGATCCACATCCAAAGTTGGTCGATCATCATCACGCGAGGCAACTTACGGATCCTATCCCTCCACTCCTTTGTAAACGGGTCGACTGAGTGAAAGTCCAATTGCTTAGGCCTTGTTGCGCGGTGTACGACTTGGTCCCTGGCACTAGCATGCCATGACAAGCTCAATGTCCACTCATTAGTTTGCTCGAGGGTTCGGCGTGGGTGTAGTGGTGGATCTGAGTGGAGATACTTTCGGATCAGGCGCTTCTCCCGGTGCGTCGACATGGCCTCGTAGAGGACTGCGGCATCGAACAACACCTGCCCAATTTCCGTGCCAGCGATCACCCTGCCGGTTCCATCTGTGCTAAACACCGACCACAAAGGAAGCTTACCGAAACGACCCTGCCGTTTCATGATATTTGCAAAAGCACCAGTTGCTGTTCTCTTTGGTGGTGTTGGGACAATGACTCGGGGCTTTTCCGGGTCGCGGTTCTCGAGACGCCATTCTGTGCCAGGCTGGCGACTCTGGGCGTTGAGGAGCTGCAGCCCTCTCTGTCTCACTCTCCGCATGCCTCTAAGTCTTTGCTCGTTGAGAATCTTGTCTCTTTTGTACTTCTCTTCTTCTTTCTGGACTGCATCAGAGATCTTCGCCTGGTGGCGAGCTGTGTCCCAATGGGGATAAGGCATCTGCCAGTTGGAATTAGCTTCTGAATACCGTATCAGGTGGAGGAATATTCATCTCACAAACAATGCTATACTGTCCCGATTCTCATCTGTGTCCAACAATATTAGTCTCGTGCAGGGCCCATAAACCAAATCGCGCAGAGTAGATTTCCAAACCTGTGGATCCGGGGATTGCCTCGCACATTGGCCCCAAGTATTTTCCCGTTACTGAGGATGACTGCTGCTGGTTCTTCCAGTACCTTGTTCCCAGTAGCCCATGATGCAAAGAAATTCCATTATTTCCGGAATCTTCAGTCGGAATGCTTTGAGTGTTGACAGGAGACTGGACAGATGTAGGACAAGGTTTTTGTTTGAAGTACCTTTTAATAGCTCGCTGTCCAGGAAACGTCAGCGGCCTAGATATCACACTGGTGATACTTTGGATACTACGCGATGGATAAATACATACTTCGGCCCACTTAAAATAGTCAGTACCATTGTTCCCACTGCTCTATTGGCATTTGAGTTCGAATTCGTGACTTACAAGCATATTGTTCGCGGGAAAATGGAAATAGTTGATTGTGCCCTTTGGAGGAATAAATGCATTGTCTTCCTCACTCCCGTATATGAGATCGTGCATTGAGATCCTGTAGCACGGAAACTGCTCATGATATCTATTGTCCGCAATATCGCGAACCAGCCTCCCGTCTTTAAATCGAATGAGGTAGGCATTGGTGTCGAGGTCAGGGTTGTATTCTTGGTAACGCCCAGTTGTTGGCACTTCTTTTTGATGGAAACCATTGGCTGCGAAATGCATCTTGCGCAATTCTCGAACCCGACTAATGCCCTCTTGGAAGTCTTTCGTCATTCTCCAGCTTGCCAAGCTGTTGGTCAAGTTTTGGACCAGCTGTCGGCCTTCGCCCAGGTCATTTTCAAGTACAGATCGGAGATATTGGATCCGCTGCAACCTTGTGTCGACCTGCTTGGCTTGCTCCGGGCTTAGTGACCTCAGGTAATCTTCTCGTTGAAAGAATTGTTCGCATCCCAGATAGTGAAGGAGGAAGTCTCGTGGCCTGTGACGCTCGGCACTGAGACATGTTGGAATAATGTCGTGGTCTTCCATGCGTAAAAAGATATCAAAAAGTTCCGCCGACATCGTGCAGAGTTCCAGCGGAAAAAAACCCAGACTGAACAATGGTAGATATTTGGCTTATTGCGAGGCGAAATCAAGGCCAAACCATACACTTCGTGGTCTCGGAGTTTCCTTCCAATGACTCTCAGCCCTTCGGCAACCGGTGTCTGTTGTCGGGATCCTATATGTCGTGATTGAAACAGATGTCAGCTCAAGCTCACGTTACACAGGCGGCTGGACCATCACTAGCAAATTCTTATGCGTCACATGTCTTCAGCTCACCCAAGCCTACGTACGGGTTCATGGACGTAGACCTGACTGCGAAAGACGGCTATTTCCATCAGAACATCTTCTCACGGTCATCTGCCGCGTTTTTGGGACTCCAACTGAGTCCACATAATCCTCCCAAACTTTTGAGTTTCCTCTCTTCCGCGGTGAGCCTTGTCGCGTCGTTAATAGCTGCGATCTCTCTTTGTTCTCCCATGCGAGACGAGCCTGCCACAGCAAGCCCCTTTCCCACCTCGGCTACTTGACCAGGCTAGTTGCCCTGTTAAGGATGCGACATGTGATTCGAGACACCCAGGCTGACGGGCCTTCACCTGGACCTGCAGTGATGTGTACAAGCGTTCGTTTCGATGCAAGACATGGCAGTCTCAACCACGCCATGTGCATGTCAAAATGATACAGTCGCACCCCTAAATTTCTAATAAATCGGCCATCTTGTTTAGTCGCTCCAAGGTTTTATGGCCCATCGAAGACCCAGATTGGCAAAGACTTGTGCTACTCAAACTACGCCGTCGTCAGATTCGGCGAATGCGAATCCACCTACCAATGCAGTTTCGGTGTAGCGAGGCGTCATCTCCATGACAATGATTCCTTTCTGACATTCCAAGTCAACAGTGTCGCACGAGTAGCAGCACTGCGCAAACAGACCTACCGAGTCAGTGACACGAGACTTAGGTGTGTCTTGCCTCACGTGTCTCGCGGACCTTTGCAGCCGAGATCAATAGCGAGGGAATCGACGACCAGATTCTCGTTTCTCATACGACTGGCACCTGTTGGTTTTGTATCTGAAAGCCTGCTTTAAGTCAATGTTCAATCAAACCATTAGAGTTGTCTAAGTAGTCCCAGTGACTAGGGAACCTCTCCATCCCCATGATGTGACTGAGATATGAGATTTTGATTTGTTGTGGCTATGATCGAGAAATTAACGGAATGGGCCTGGCAGTCCACAAACATTTGAAGTGAAGGATGTTCTATGAACCAGTCTCTGAGTCTTGAATCGGGTTTGTTACCCCATCAAGACCGTGTCTCCAGGGCGTTTCTCTTGAAAGTCAATCTTTAAACTCCAAATGTTCCTTTCGACGTATCAACAGAATCAGATCTTCCGATGAATTGGAATATGAATTCATGTATCTGTAGGAAATCTATACCAGCACCTCCTCCGCTTCCGAGCCATCAAAGACCAGATAGTCATTCGCCATCACGCTGGACCTCTGCACTCGGCTGCACGGAAGATTTGTGTCGTCAAATCCACACAGATTGATGACGCAATCTTGCTCCAAAAATGACCAAAGACTGGCATCCACGACCATGAAACGGCTTCATCTTTGATGTGCCGCAGATGAATGATTTTAGATCCCGCCGATGCCACGGAATATCTTCTTCCCCTCCCTCAGCTTCTCAGTCTGGTCGACCAGGAAGTCTCTCTTCCGCTTCGCAGTTGAGGACTCCGCGACCATGTTCTCAATCTTCTCCGGTTTGATACTGAGGACAACTATCGGTGAGAAGATATTGTGGAGGCCGCGGACGATATGTCGCTCGATGACTTGAGTTGTGATGTTGGCGATGAAGGTTTTCTGTTGTACCTTTGAAGATGTTATTAAATTGCGGATTGGACTCATTAGGGGTAGATGTGTCATACCTGATATATGGCAAGCAAGCAGTCCAGGGCCTCCTCGCAGCTGAAATCTTCCATGTCTGCAGTGGTCGAGTTGCCCCAATTGGAGATGGCTGTCTTTACGACATCTTGAGTGGAATACTTGCCCTGGTCGTCGAAGTCGATGTCATCGGGAACATGGTCCCCTAGCTGCTCTAGCATCCGCTGCTGACGTTTCATGTGGACTGTGTCCGTGTAGTAGTGATTGTAGTTGATGGGAAAGTCTTTGCAGTCAGCCAAAAGCTTGTCCAGCTCCGCGAGGGCTTCTTGGCAGCGTTGCTGAAGAGCAGGAGCAACCATCGAAGACCTGAGCAACGAGAAAGTCAGTGGCCTGAAAGCACTTGGCAAAGCGAATCGACTTACCAAACGCGGTCCTTGATGCTCTTTGGGATGATGGAAATCAGCACGGCGGATACAAACTGCTGGCATAAATTGGCGACCTTCTCGATGTGATTAATTGACATCTTTTCCCAGGCCTCCGATTGCTCCCAGAAAAGCTCTGCAACCATGTTGGGATTGAATGTGCCGAGCAACTCGGTGCCTCGAGCACGCTGGAGGACCTTCTTAACCCATTTGAGGGCGTCTTGCTTGGAGAGAGCCCCTGGCTTCGTTGAAGATTCAGCTGTGGATTTGCCCACGTCGATCTCATACTTATGACCCCTCAGTCGGAAGTCATCCGCAAATTTAGTATTTGCCCATTGAATTATTGCTCGTATACGTCGAATAGGAATGTCGCAGTCCTGAATTGGAGTTTTGCCTTTCTTGAACCAGTCATGCTCATAGTGACCATTCACGCCAGCTTTGTACAGCTCGAAGGACTGCATGTTCAGGTCTACAAAGAACTCGCGACACTCCATCTTAGTGGACCGCGGTTTTCCCAGCAAATCGAGCTCATTTTGGTGCTCCTTTAGAGCTTTCTCGAGGTCGTCTTGCAGGCGTGGCAGTTCATTCTTCACGTGCTCGAACAGCAGTTGACTTAGCTTCAAACGTAGGGCCTCGATACCAACGTTCTCCTTCGGTAGTTCCTTGAAGTTGGAAGTGGAAAAGAACATTTTCTCAGAAAGATTGCGCTCATCAATCGAAAAGCTGTGTTCTTCAAATTTGCGGTTTCTGATGACGTGCCAACCAGGTTGAACATGACATCTTCGTTGCGAGCGAGTTCAAGGAATTTGGCTTCGGAGCCTGAACCAGCACGGAGAAGATCTGGTTTGGTGATGACGCCCAAGGTTCGCTATAACAATGTCAGTAGTTTCCATCAATAGCTTTCTATGGATGGACGAAAACTTGCCTCGCCTTGTGGGTCAAATTTGCGAACCAGCTGAAGAATGGGCTGGTTCGCGGCGTCATTAGTAGCAGAAACCACAGCAAGGCAAATTGTTCGATGCTTTTCAATGTAGCGTTCTGTAATCTCCAAAACCTTGGCAACATCCGCATTGGACACGCCCCTGGTCGAAGACTGAATGATGCCGGGAATATCCACCAAAGTAAGTTGAGGACGATCTGGGCCCTGGATCTCAACGCTGAGGATGTCCTTCGAAAAAGCGCTCTTGCCCTCAGAGATACCCATGACACCCATGGCCTTCTCCATGATCTGTGGAAGCTCTTTGAGGTCCGTAATAGTCTCGCCAAAGCTTTTCATCTTTTCCTGCTCGAGCTTTGGACGATTCTCATCTGGGGTGATTTTCAAATCCAGACTGCTCGTTAGCTCACGGCGAAGACTGATCTCAGTTGCGAAGCGAGTGCAAAGATTGTCGTTCCTGTTAAGTCAATGATTGAATTCTGACCATGAATCGAAAATAGGGAAAGCAATACCTTGGGAATGGAATCTCCGTCAAAACCTCTAGGACCGAGCTCTTTCCAGAGGACTGATCACCACAGACGACAATCTGGGGCAAGGAAAGAACACTTTCTAGTCCACATTTGCGAACTTTCGAGACAGTGTCGAGAATACGACGCTGCTCATCAGTCTGCAAGTCCTCAAGGGACGAGTGACCAGCCATGTTGTTGTTGATGGTACTGCCACTGACTGTGCTTGTGTCTGACGATGATGACTTCATCCCGAAGCGAAGCTAGGGACTTGGACAGCCTCTGATTGAAAACTGCTGCAAGATTTTGGTAGAAAGATATCGAGGTTGGGTCGACTAGCGGTCATAAATGGGAACTGTGTCAAAATTAGAACCAGCTTCAATCTGGCGGCAAAGTTCGTGATGGGGATGTGAGAAGAGGTTGGTGTTGATGAGGATGAGGATATGCTTGGGCGAGAAAATGAAGTTTGGTGCAAGATATCTTAAATTTTGCTTCGGGTTCGTAGTTACTTGCAAGGAATATGAGCGTACTTGATCCAAAGATTTGTCGCAAAGGGCTAATGCTTGTCGGTTGTCGAGTGCTCCAGCGCAGCGTACCTGTGATGAAGTGTCACAAGAAGTAATTGAAGAATCTCAGGCGAGTTCCAAATTAGGAGGAGGTTCAAGTCGTGGGAAGTTCAGGCTCAGAATACGGAAAGTTGAGAGGCCGGTGGGAATGAATGAAATATCAAGACTGCTCTCCCACTTTGAGTGTGTACTTCTGGCCTTCAGCTCACTGGGAGCTGCGGAAGCTGAGCTCTGCAAAATGACAACTTTCGTGGTGATTTGCAAACAAAAAGCCTGAGCGAGGCAGTTGAAAAGCCTTTCGTCTTGACTTTGGGCAGGTTCGAATGAAGAGTGCAATAGAAAGTTGAACAAGGTTAGTAGACTTCAGTTGGTGGTTGTTTTGGCACGATGCGATTGAGCGCAGTAGCTATGGGGTGCTCTTGGCAACTTGCACAAGACTGACATGCTCAACACAAACGTGTTTTGGCAGAAGCGAAACAAGCCTCTCGGCCTTGATAATTGAAAAGTACTCCGAAGATTGGAATTTCCTCGTGTACAATCTCATCTTGCATTGCGTCTCATTACGTTTATCTCGTCGCTCAATAAAAGCTTTGCCTCTTCTTCGATCGTCAGTGTTTCTTTATACCAGGGACAAATCGCCTTCAGACCGGGGTTTTCTTCCCAATCCCAGTCCATGAGTCGTCAAGGAGCCACGTTCCTGCTGGAGAATAACGCAAAACCTTTCCATTCTTCACATAACCAAATCGTATGTGGTCGACGAAAGCCTGCGGTCCTCTCTCCCAGAAAAATGTGTCTCTGGCCGGCGCATCCTTGAAATACAGACGTTCTCTCTCCACATCATCCACCATCATACTGATTCCCTCGATCCCAGAGGGCGTAGGTGTAGCCCACTTGAAGGTGATATTGGCGACGGAGTTGGTGAGTGTCTGCGTATTTATCTCGGGCTCCAGGATATGCGGAACAGGGAACGACGCCTCGTAAGCAGGAATCGCTGCCGCCGACGTCACAGAGCTTGACCTCCACCGAAGCAAGTGAGCGGTGGCAACCGAAGCTAGCCAGACAGCCCTGCCGCCTGTCGAGGCGGTGACCTGGAAGAACAAAACCGTGTGCCCGACCGACACCCACGGCAAAGCCCAGCTGCGGTCGTTAGCAGCCGGGCAGTTCCCGCCGATCTCCTCGTTCGTCGTCGGGAAGTTGAACGTCAGCGGGAAGTATGTCTGCACAGAAAACGACTCGACATCGTACATGTACGAGCCCGGGAACGAGTTGGTCTGGCCCATGCGCTTGACCACCCCACAGCCGCCCTTTGCATCTTCCAGCACACCATCGTGCACAGCAGCCGCACAGAGCTCGGAGTCGCCGCGGTAGATGGGCCCGCCTATGACGATTGGACGCTGCGTCACCTCCCTGTCCCCGGCGAGGTGCGGCGTGCCCGCCGGGGGAGCGTCGCGCACGCAGTTGGCAGGGCAGCGGAATGCCAGGATCGTAGACTCGAACTGGCCGCTCACGTCTGGGACGCAGTTCACACCACCTTTGCCGCACGTCTCAGCCGATGGCCAGAATGATTCGGTGCAGGAGAATTGGCGCACTGGCACCCGTTTCGACGATGAGGGTAGCAAGAGCGGCGGATTTGCGCTGTTGGAGAAGCTGAGGAAGATGAAACCCCAAGAGAGGAAGAGAATCGAGCTGACAAACACCTTTTGGCGCCTGGACAGTCTCCTCTGTGGCCTTGGTCTGAGATGGTGGTGGTCCTTCTTAGCAAAGGCCTTGTCATCGGTGGTCTTCGGGGTGAGATCCATCGTGGAGAAAGGGAGAGGCGATCTCGACCCAAACTGTTGGAACAGATTGTGGTGAAGGCAAGAAAGATGATGCAAAATATGGATTACGACGCCGACGTGGTTGAAGATGAAGACAGCTGTTATCTGGTAAGTTTGAGACGCGGATTTTGACTTCAGATACGATCGAGTGTGTATTGCTTGGTTCGTCCAATGTTCATGGCTCCTAGAAGGCTTGTCTCGGAAACAGCTTGAAACGCCGAACTGACCCTGGCCAGGAGGCGTGCGCTTGGTCCCTCACTGCCCTAGGGGCCGAATGGTCAGGGAGCTAAACTGACCCTAAAACCATGTCTGCGGATAGGGACTTCCTAAATCTCATGGCATCTGAACATGTTAAGGCCGGAAAACACAGAGCTGGCATAAGGAGATTCAACAGTGTAGGAAGAGCTCCGTCGAAGACTCAATATCAGCAGGGTGAGTGACCAGCAGGCGATGACCACTGTCAGGGCTATTAGTTGGACTCGAAAGCTACGGCGAAGAAAACATCTTAAGAATTGAAAAGCGGTGGGATGAACAAACCGTTGAAGCCAGGGCAACAATCAAGATGAGAAATTTTGAAAATGGGCTTCGCGACAGTGGAAAGCGGATGGGATGGGATGCCTGGGCTTGGGGGGGGGGGAGCTGATCTCTGTAACGCCCTCAAGGGTTGGGGGTTTGATGAATTGGCACTGTTGAAGCACCCAGGTACCCAGGCGCCTAATCACCAAGGTATCATTGGCCCGTGGCTTCACCCAAAATAACCAATGTCATTGAGTATTCAGATTTCCCTCTCCTACTACCTACGATTGGACCTGTGGCCTGACATGGTCCACCCCATCCATCTATAATACATCGAAACAGGCAGCTATGAAAGTTGCAGGACGACCGAGCCTTAGGGGTTTGTGACATTGAACTGATGACCCCCAATGTCAAGCTGACGGCAGATCATCGTGGGAAAGGCACAGGAAGGAACGTTAAAATCCCAGCAATTTCAGGCATCTTTGGACTTGAATTTGATGGCCGGGAATTGTGAAATGGTAGTTATTGCCCTTGATAGCTGGGAAGGTTGCCTAGCTCGTGCCCCCAACCTTGGGAATAAGTCGAAGGTCCGGTGAAAGCCTCGTTTCCTCATCAATTATTTCCCAGGATCCGAGCCGCATCGTCTGGGGATAAAATGAGAGACTCTTACGTTTCCGAGCTTCTTCCATTCCGTTCTTACTCCTTCTGTTGTTTAGCCCTGAACTTCCCTGCTCTTGGTTCAGTAAGTCAATTTTTGAAGACCACAGTGATGTCCTCATTGTGTTATCACGTCGCAATCCCAAGTAGCTTTTTGAATGTCGTTCTTTTCCATTTCTTAGAGGATGTGCATGTGAAGTGGATATGGTCGTCATTCCGTTAGATACCCAGGTACTTGAGGACTCTATTGCTGGGAAGGGAGAAAGTGATTTGCTGAAGTCTCTTGCATGCACCCTGGACTATAGGCATCACCAGTCGACTACCGTCATAGGCGACCTGAATATGACTGCAGATGACACCCCAACGGCTTAAAGCAAATCAAGAGCGACAGTCCGCGGAAAGTTTGCCTCAAGTCTTGGTAGCGGACCGAAATGTCTTAGTCAACCTTGGAACCCCTCCCATCTCCAAACCCCCCGCCCATCAACACCACCACCTCCACACAGTGTAATCGTTCTCCGTCTCCAATATCTACCCGCGGTGACTTCATCAGATCCCGTCTTACCACGTAGATCAAATCTTCCCCTCCACCACTTGTCATATTCACCCTTGCACTTCTCCAGCCATCAGAAACAAATAACATCGTCCATGATGGAGCTCCCATTCAAGCTAGACGACAATGAGCTATTCTCGCCCAAATGCTACGTCCACGGGGCATGGGTCGGCACAAAAGCCAACAAGAACTTCGACATAGAAGACCCCGGCACAGGAAAGGTCTGGGCGTCCTGCCCAGACAGCGAGGCCGTCGACGTTGACGCCGCAGTGCAGTCGGCCCACAAGGCCTTCGAGACATACAGCAAGCTGACCCCGCGCAAGCGCGCAGAGCTGCTGATGAAGTGGCACACGCTGATCGTCGCGGCGCGCGACGACCTGGCGCGGATCCTCGTCTACGAGACGGGCAAGCCGCTGGCCGAGGCGCACGGCGAGCTCGACTACAGCCTGGGCTTCACGTGGTGGTTCTCGGGCGAGGCGGACCGCGTCCAGGGCAGCGTGTACAACAGCGCCGCGCCGGGGCGGCGCACCTTCGTCATCAAGCAGCCCATCGGCGTCGCCGCCGCCCTGTGCCCGTGGAACTTCCCCATCGCCATGGTGCTGCGCAAGGCGAGCGCCGCGCTCGCGGCCGGGTGCACCATGATCGTTAAGCCCAGCCCTGAGACGCCTATCACGACGCTCGTGCTGGCGAATCTGGCCACTCGTGCCGGGTTCCCGCCTGGTGCGCTGAATGTGTTGACCACGAGTCTGGAGAACACGCCTGCTGTGGCGGAGGCGCTGTGTCTGCACCCTCTGGTGAAGAAGGTGACTTTTACTGGCAGCACTCGAGTCGGCAAGATCATCTCCGGGTTGTGCGCGAAGAATCTGAAGAAGGTGACACTCGAGCTCGGCGGAAACTGCCCATTCATCATCTTTGACGATGCAGACTTGGAGCAGGCGCTGGGTCAGCTGATGACGCTCAAGTGGAGGCACGCCGGCCAGGCTTGCATCTCTGCGAACCGGGTGTTCGTGCAGAGTGGCATCCACGACAAATTTGTAGAGACTCTAGCAGCCAAGACGAAGCAGCTCAAGGTCGGTCATGGTATAGAGGACGGCACCACTATGGGCCCGGTCACTACGCCGCGAGGCCTGGACAAGGCGGAGCACTTGCACTCTGACGCGGTATCGAAAGGTGCCAAGGTCATCATGGGCACGGGAAAGCGAGAGGCTGCCACAAACGGTGCGACGGGCTACTTCATGAAGCCGACCATCCTCACAGACGTGACGGATGAGATGGAATTGGCGAGGGACGAGATGTTTGCACCTGTTCTCGGTGTCTTCAAATTCGAGTCTGAGGACGAAGCAGTCAAGAGGGCTAACGATACGAGCATGGGGCTGGCGAGCTATGTCTTCACCAAGAATATTGACCGTCTGTGGCGGATGTTTGAGAGGTTGGAAGCCGGGATGATCGGTCTGGTAAGTTGACGACCTTCCACCTTAATCCTGTCTCACGGGATTGGCATATTGACTGACTTCATTCCTTTTCAGAATACTGGCAATCAGTCTGCGGCCGAGTCCCCATTTGGGGGCATCAAGGAGAGCGGCATGGGCAAAGAGAGTGGCAAGGACGTTGCGGTCAATGAGTTCTTGATCCAGAAGACCGGAACACTGACGCTGCAGGATCACTACTGAGGCGCATCTTCCACTGGCGACAAAGTTGAATTTCATCAAACTCGGCGCATTTGCTTTGGGATGCTGCAAAAGCGAGCACAACAGGTGAGGTATATGGGCGTGATGCCCAACAGATTGTGCAGGTACCTACTTATATGTACTATACGTAATTCTTATCCAGGCTTCATAATTCTCTGCCCAATCTTTGCCCGACATTCTTAAGTATACTATTGTTCTACCTTTATATATTGTTGTAGGGTGCAGAGTAAGCTTTAAGCTTATATAATTAAGGGGTAAGTTTTAGGCAAAGATTTTAAAAAAGTATTACTTTAACTATAGTTTTTATAAATAAACTAACTTATATTTTTTTAAATCTAATACCTATTATATATAATTGTAATATTTATATTTTAATTAAAGCTTAAATATTTTTTATTTTTTTTAAAAGCTTTTATTTTTAATATTTTATTACCCTTTTACTAATATACTTTTAAATACTTTAAAAAACTAATAAAATAAAACTTTTATAGTATATACTTTATTTTTTATAATTACTTATTTTTAATAATAATTTAGCCTAAGCTAGCTAATTTAATACTTCTTATAAGCAAACAAATTAAAGCTTTAAAAACTAAATATTAAAATATATTTAATAGCTAATTATAAAAACTATATATTTTATTATTATTAAAAATTATTACTTAAAAATTACACTTTAAACTTTAATAATAAATAATTAAAAAGTTTAATAGCCTTAAAGCAATAATTATTAAAAAATAATATTTTTAATAAAATATAACTAATATTAAAAATTTAAAGATTTATATTAATTTAACTAATTTTTAAAACTAATAAAAAATAGCTTATTAATTAAAAGTATTTAAAAGAGAGAACTATTAATTAAATAAAAAATCTAGCCTTATTTTAAATAAAAAAAACTAAACTTAAAAATTTCTTATAAAATTTTAAATATATTAAAAAAATTAAATATTATAATATTAAAAAGTACTATTAATTATAAGGCTTAAAAAGTATATTTTAATTTAAGTTTATATTTATATATAAAAAAGGGCTAATATTATACTTTATTAAAATAAAAAAAAATTAAAAAATACTTAAAATAAGTTTTATTTACTTTATTTTAATAATAATAATAAAAAAAGCTTTAATAATAAGTTTTACTTATTAGCTTATTAAAACCTTATAATAAGATTATTAATATTTAATTAAAATTTAAAAAACTTTAAATTTATAAATTACTTAATAAAAAGGAAAAAATATTTAATTATATTTAAATACCTTATTATTATTATATTAAATAAATATATAAAGGAATATTTAAATTATATACTTTATTAATTTATTTAAAGATATACTATTACTAATTTTACTATATTATTCCTATCTAAACCTATTATTATCTTCTATACTTAATCAAATCCTTATAAATAAAAAAATATTTAATTTAAGCTTACTTATAAGTAATAATTCTGCTAAAAATCTTTCTCCTTTTAAGCAGCTAAAACTTTTTTTTTTTAAAATAATAAAAAATAAAAATCTTTTTAATATATTTATATAAACTACTAACTAACTATTAATTATTCTGCTAATAAAATATAATCCTTCTTTTTTTTTATTTTAAGCTTTTAATTATAGGTAAGCATAAAAAAAATGTTAAAAAAAAAATAATTAAATAAAAAAATCTAATTTATTTTTAACCTTACTTAATTAAAAAAATAATAATAACTAAACTTTATAATTTTTAACTTAATTACTTAAAATTCCTTTTACTAGTGTAATTTAAAACTTATATATTATTAACTTAATAATAATAATATAAATATTTTTTTTATTATTATAAAATATAAGTATACTAAAATTTATTAATATTAATATTATTAAATATATTAATAGTTTTAAATAAACTATTTAGCAGTTTATATATTATAATAATTAAATTTTGCCTTTTTTTAAATAATAATATATTAGCTTAAAACTTTTATATATTATTAAAAAGGTTATTATAAATTAATAATTTTAATTAATATAAAAGTTTAAATTAATATAATATTTTAAAGCTTATAATAAAATTTTTTAAATTAATTTAATAAAAATTATTAAAAGCTTTTTTTATTAAAATTTTAATAGTAATATTAAAAAATAAAAAAAAAAGGTTATTAATTATAATTAAATCCTAAATAATATATTTAAAAATATTATTAATATAGCTTAGCTTTTTTATAAAACTTTACTATTTTAAATTAAAAAGTAGTTTAAAGAAAAAAGCTTAAATAATATAGCTATTAAGAATTATATTTAAATTAATTTTAAATATATACTTTTTAAAATTTTTAATTAAAAAATAAAATATATAAAGTAAAATTATTACTTTATTATTTATATTCTTTTTAATTATTTATAAAAAGCTATAAAGCTTTAATAGTATTTAATATTAAATAATAAAAATAGTATATAATTATAAGGATTTAAGTTAAATTAGTAAACTAATTAAATATAAATAAAAGGTATTTTTATAGGATTTAATTAAAAGCTATAAAATATTAAGAAATTTAAAAAGTTTACTAAAATATTAAAGTTAAATATTAATAAATTTATAAAAGCTTTTAGCTAAATATATTTTAATAATTTTAATATATAAAATTAGTAATAATAAATTATTAATAATATTATTTAAATAGCTTTAAATATATATAAAAAGCTAAATTAAAGTTAAAAGATTATTATATATAATAATTAAAAAAGTAAGCTTAAATTTAAAGAGTTTAAATAAATTAATTTAATTAAATTATTTATTTTAGTTTTTTTAAATGCTAATAACTCTTTAAATAAAAATAAATATTTAAATATATTTATATTTTAGTTAAAAAAAGATAAGTTTTTATAAGTTTGCTATAAATATACCTTATTTAATTACAATATATATAGCTATAATAAACTTTAAAAGCTTAAATTTATTAAATTATTTTATAGCTTAAAGCTTAAAGGTATTTTAATATTTTTAAAAATAAAAAATAATATTTAATAAAGGTTAGCTAAATATTTTAATTTTATTTATATTTAAAAATATTAAAATTAAACTAAATATAAGTTAATAAAGTATATATTAAGCTAATTAAAGTTTTTATTTTAAAAGAATTAAATAAACCTTTTTTATATTTAAAAGTATTAAGCTTTTATTATTAATAACTTTAGTTTAAAAAAAAAAGCTTAGCTAAATATATTAAATATTTTTTATAATTTAAAAATAAAAGATAATAATATTAAGTTAATATTTATAAAATTAAATAGTAATATTAAAAAAGCTATTTTTATTAAAAAAGAATTTAAATAAATTAAAAATTAAAGTTAATTTATTTTATTAATAAATATAATAAAAAGGAAATAATATATTATTAAAACCAATTATAATAAAACTATATTTAAGTTTTCTTTTATTTAGTAAAATAAAGAAATTTATATTAAATTTATAAATCCTTTTATATTTATAAGTAGTATAAGCTTATTTTTAAACTATAAAGTAAGTATATAAACTATTAATTTTAATTAAATATTAAATACTTTTTAAATATAAAATATTTAAAAAAATTTAAAAAAATAATATAAAAAAGAGTATTTTTTAATATTATCTTTTAAAAAAAAAGCAATTTAAGTTATTCTTATTAAGTTAATTAAATTTAAAATAATAAGTTTTTTAGCCCTTAAGTAAACTAATTAAGCCTTAATTAAATATTTATAAGCTTTAAATAATAATACTTATATTATAAGTAAAGTATTATTTAAATTAGTAAAAAGTTTTAATTTTTATTTTAATTAGGCTTTTAATTTAAAGGTTATTAATTTTAATAGCTATAAAGGGTTTTAAAAAAACTTTTTCTTTAAAAGAATTAAATAAATTATTTATTATTAAATTAATTTAATATTTTTAATTATAATAAATATTATTAATAAGGAATATTATAGCTTAGCTTATTTAATAATTTAAATTAGTTTTAAAACTAATTTTTTTATTTTAACCCTTTTAAATACTAAAGTAAAAATAAATTTAATACTTTTATTTTATTACTATTAAAATAAACTAACCTTTATATTATTTAATAATATAAACTTTATAATATATAATAAAGAAACGTTTATTTTAATTAGTATTATAAAAAACTAGCTTTATATTAATATTAAAAAATTAAAAGTAATTTTTTTTATTATTAATAATATTATTTATAAAATAATTAGTTATATTTTTTTTAAAATATTATTTTTTTTTAATATAAATATTTTATTTAAATAGTTAAATAGTTATTTCTTTATATATATAATCTTAGAATTTTTAAAGTTTATATATAAATTAGGAAAAAAAGATTAAAAACTTTTTTAAATTGCTTTTATTAAAAGTATAAAGGTTATATTTAAATACTTTTTAATTATTTAATTAATTTTTATTAGTATTATTAAGCTTAATTAGTTATTTATATTAATTAAAAACTTTATATATACTTTTAAGGCTAAAGATTTATTAAAGGGAGGAAATATAGTTTTAAATTAGTTTTTTAATAAGGATATTAAGTATATAGCTATATTATTTATAAAAAACTTTTATAAAGAAATAAAGTGGAATTGTTTAAATAGAAATGCTAGAAAATTAAAGCTATAATATATATATAGTTTTTATTTTTAGTAATAATAATAATGCTTATAAAAATAATTTATAAGTAATTTTAGCTTAAAAAGTTTTATTTAATTTATAAGAAAGGTTTTATATTTTATAATTAAAACTTTATATAAGTAAGTTATTAATAAAGTATATTTTATAAACGATTTTTTTTTTAAATAAATTTATATTTAAAGGAATAATTAATTAAAAATTTTAATATAAAGCTAAAATAGTAAATGCTATAAACGCTAGTTAAAGGAATAAATATAATTCTTAGATATGTTTAAAGTTTTTAAATATTAAAAAGGAAAGTTATTTAACTTTTAATTAGTTATTAAATATTTTAAATTTT